GTTGGGTCAACAGTGGAAAAGATGGAAACCCTCGCACCAACCGCACGCCCTGTGCCCGTTGTTGGCAAGTCCCTCCCTGCTGCAAGCGTTACCCTTAGCGCACAGTGACTGACATGGCGAGAGTTTAAATTATTATCACCTTCATCATCGTTATTACGCTTGTTCGCACAGGAATATATTATTAATTAACCAGGTGAGAACTCCAGAGACAAGATTAGTCACATTTGCAAGTAACTTTGTTCTCAAGACTCTTTTTCCGGGGGGTCCTGCTCAGTTTTTGCCGTGGGTGCTAACAATTGCTTCGTGTTTGCCGATTAAGTAATTTGTTGTGTAATTTAGCAAATTTGGCACACACTTACTTTCGAATCACGTCACAGGATCTTTCCGCGAGGTCGCGTCACCACTTCACATCATGGAAGGAACTGAAAGTAGTCCGAGTGATCGGTGATCCAGCAGTCATGAATTCCCTCCAGCCATTAGTCACCTTATTATTCCTCTATCGTTATTACAATGGTTACTGTTCCCCTGTACTTCACTCATTGATTCCTCTACTTATGTGGAGAACTCTGTCTACCAAACTAACTGTTTCGTCTCATCCGTACTGTGATCAACGACTACATTGCAGGTCACAACAATGCACTCAATCACTCACTCACCCACCCACTCACCCACATGCTGACTTCCAAAATCACCCACCGTCTGGAACGTGGCAATCATCCCACTGCACTTTTGCGGCATTCAATCTCCACCTCTTTCTAGAGACACTGAAGCACCACCTCTTTCATAACTAAGCCTGGCTTCTGAGCCACACTGAGCCTGGCCCTGTGCCTCAATCACGGTCACTGCTGAGATCTTGTGCGCGTTATAAGTTGCATCGTAACTAAAACGCTTCTCTTTCTGTTTCTACACCCGCACTGCGAAACTTTGCAATTCCCTCCCATCCTCTCTTTTACCGCAACTTCTTCAAATATTAACATTGCTGCTCCATTCAGGAAACGTGTTTAAGACTTATCTATTATGACTTTTATATTGATGTTTGTTGCTGGATGCTTGACAATTTGGGTTTTTGTCTGTTCTCCGAAACTGTTACAAATACAAGTGTAGCACAGCTTGATAGCTCATAGTGGCTGTTGACCAAGAGCAATTGCCCTCTCTCCCTGTGGGTCTTTGCTATGTCTCTGCATCCAGAGTGGTTTCTCAGGACCGCTGGCTGTCTCCTTGTCTCCCTGTTTGGCCTTCTGGGACCCCTGCTGTTTGGGCAGCAATCATTGCTTACCCCAGCTGCTAGAAGTGGCTTTGCCGTGGTTGTCATGGGGACTGTTGCCGTGGCAGCGAGAGCCCTCTTGTTGCATCCACATCTGCACGGAGGCAGGTCCCCCCGTCTGTCTACATTGGAAGCCGCAGTTGGGAACGCAGCATTAGTACAATGACGGCTCACGCCGGCGCCGCTTGCTTGCAGCGGTTATTTTGCTTGCAGGATAATTAATGTAAACTGCGTTGGCAGTGGTACACAAGCACAAATAACAAATGCTCACCACGTTTGTCCATAACACTTGGACCATTAAAAAATATGTAGAACATACAACGTTTTAGACAATACCCTTACGATATAGCACACACCTCTGTGCTATGAAGATGTGTTTTGGGAAGAAGGGCCTGTTATATATACATATAAGTGTCTCATCAGGAGTCACGCTTGCCAAATATGACACTGAATGTTCGTACTGGTCCAGAATTTGCTTATATTAAACATATGCTGCTAAAATTATGCATTTCTAGAATGATACGTAGCTGATGGAATTCATACAAAAATACTGTTATGCTTTGTGTTATTCTTTGTGTTGAGGGTCGGATATAGGAAGGAGGCAAATTGCATTATTATTCTGTTACTCAACACAATTTGACTTCTTTACAAAGACGATGACCAAGTGAATGCATGATATATGTGTGGTGTGTGTGCTCAACCATCGTTTATCGCAGTGCGTTTTACGAAGATAGCGATGCCGTGATTTGTATCTCGTGCGTTTAAGAGGACATCATTCATATGACTGTGGAGAAGCCGCTCCTGACCAAACATTTAATGGATAGCTTTGAGCGATGGCTGTGGGGCTGTGTGTGAGATGGGGGTGGGGGCTGTGTGGTCACTTGTGACTGTGGACGATGATGGAGGTGGCTTGTGCCGACTCGTCGTGTCATGCGGAGTTATCTTGTCAGATTCATTGGCGCCGAGTAGGTGGCTCAGCGGCTGATACTGCGTCTGATACTGCGTCATGGCAATGGACAAGCACCGCTGAAGTCCAGGGTTCGAATCCAGGTTTCAGCTGCCCGTGATTAAACAAAGTGCTGGGCGGAGGTCCTGATATGTTATTGTTTGTGTTGCTGTTTGTGTGTTGCTCTCTGTGCACCTTCATAGGTGCTCACTAACAGCACTTGCCCCAACAGTTTGTTCAAGGCTTATACGGGGGATCTTTTGTGTGTTTGTGTTGCTGTGTGTGTTTGCCCAGCGCCATGCGGATTTTAATGAGTGTGACTGGGCGGAGATGATCAGCATCGCTGCTCTGGGGGGGGGAGGGGGTGTATTTCTGCCTGAAGGCCCCTCGGGGAGATGGTGAGGTTTGGAGTGAGTATAGGAGGGGGTAGGGAAGGTGGTGCGGAAGTGAGTACAGGGTAGGGGAGTGGCTTGGGGAAGGGGGTCAGGGAGGGGGAAGGAGGGAAGTTGTGCAGAGGTTCAGAGCTGTCCAAACATGGGCAGTGTTACTTTGGATACTCATTATGGATGTAACATTCACTCACCACCAACAACCGCCAGTGGTTTTGATTGGGGGTTCCACACTAAAGAAGATCATGACTACTTTGTCATCCCTTCCCTGTCTCTGACGACGAGGAGTCTGCATCCATAACTTTTCTCCCCTTTCTCATCTTCCAAGTGCCCATGGAGGCGTTGGGAGTGACAACGATTTTAATGAGTTTGAAGATTGTCTACATTTGCCGTTAAAATTTTTTATCTATTTTCCATGTAGCTGTGAAAATGAGGGGTCTCCCCCTCCTCATCAGGCACTGCGTGCGAGTGGATATTGCCCCGAGGGGCACGGTGCGGTTATTGCGGTTCGCGGACGCGATATTAAAAGCCCCTGGGCTCCGCTCCTTATTAACATTTAGCACGCGTCCTCCATTATTGTGGGCCTGCTGCTACATCACGGCGCGGTTATCAACGCGCTTCCCACTCGCTTCTTAAATGCTTCTCGAGCGTTGCCCGTGTTGGCGTGGCCTGTGAGTAGCGACGCGGTCCAGCGGCAGCGCGTTTGCCACTTGTAACGCAGGTTTGTGGTTTGAATCCAGCAGGCTGCCGTGGTTAATACTTCGGAGCATGTGAACCGTAAATAAATATGGGCAGTCTGCGCCACTCACAGCGGATGTTAAAGATTCCATGATGTCATTCGAAGAAGAGCAGTCCAGCCATTGTGCGCCGGTGTCATGGTCCAAATTTGTCCACATTTGAAAAATTACACCGCTAATTATGAAACGGTGATTGTCATCCCCCGACTGTGCAAACGTAGCAGGACCCTCCTGAAAACGTAGGACTCGGTGAGGCTTTCCTGAGTAAACAAGTGGAAGTTCCGCTGTGTTGATAATAGTGAGAGTGATTTGTTTCAGAATGCATTACACGCAAAATCACTTTTCATCTCAAACATATCTAAGGGTGCCCCTAGTAGCAGCCGTTCCTGTGTGGCTGCAAGTAGGCAATTATAGGAGTAATTTTTAGCACTTTGCAAATTTAGATAATGATGTCAGTACACAGTGGTCTTCTTGTTTCGAATGACATCACTGCGAAGCAGACGTCACATAGTGATATTTATGGTTCATACACCTGCAGTAATAACCAGGGCAGCCTGTCGGATTTGAGCTGCAAACCTCTGCTTAATTAGCGAACGCTAATTAAGCCTTGTGTGGTGGTGGCCTTGGGTAGAGGCCTTGTGTAGCCACCGCTGTTTGTGGAGTGAGGCTGCATGGCATCCTTACTGCACAGTGGCAGCTTTGTGTACCCAAACGGGAGTGGCAAATGGACAATTTGCCCCACACTGGCCTGGTTTTTTGTTGTTGTCAGCGACAACAACAAAAAGGCCCGTACATGACATACGGGCCTTCAGGAACCTCTGGGTGTCCCTGGTGGCACCAGCACCCCTCCCTTTGTGGACTTGATCCCGCTTAGGAGCGATGTGCCAATTGGGAGAACGTGGTCGATGTCTGAATGGGGTTGCTGGGCGAGGGTGAGAGTGTGTAGCGGCTTTGTGGGAACGTGTGTGATGCTCAGGCTCAACCTCTTCACTTGCGGTGCCTCCTTTATCTGTGCAGCTGAGACTGCTATTTGGGTGCTGTGTTAGTTGAGTGGGTGCTGTCATTGTGCAGTCTGAGTATAGTGTGAGAGCTGAGTGGGTGGCGTGTTTGTGCTGTGGTGGTGCTGTCTTGGTACTGTGTGGGAACTGCATGGCTTGTCGCTCCATACAAAGTTCCAACCACAGTTTTTCCCTCCCTTGTCTGATCTTGCGAGAACCCCCTTACAAGAACACTTGCACCAGCTTGAAAAATTCAAGCTGGCCTGCCTTCACGTGTACCTAGCCTGGCACAAGTACGGTGGTGTTTTCACCACCACTTAGTGGTAAATGGTGGTTGCTATGTTAGCACGCCCACGTGCCAGTGTGCATCGCTGGACGGACACACGTACATGAGGAGCAATAGTGTCAAGGTTAGCGGACTATTCTGTGAACCCGGTAACCTAAGTTCGATTCCCACGCTGTGACAAATATCTAAATTGGTCCTGGGCCTCTCCTGGGTCGATTCGGCCTTAAAATCAGTCCCGAGTGCGGTGTATACACATAAATAGGGAGACAAAGGCAGTCGGGCGTGGTACTGAAAATAAAAATATTCTGATGGGTGCTCGCTAACAGTACTTGCTGCAACAGTCTGTTAAGGCTATAGGGGGGATTTTTGTCTTTGTACAGCCACAGATGAAGCGACGATCCGTAGGTACTTCGCGAAAGTGGAGGAAAAGTTTTTCCAGACATGCGAGAAGGAGTTGTCCAAGATCAACACCTTCTACTCTGGTGAGTTTCAATACGTGCATGGTTTGTGAGTGTGTATGTGGTGTGCGTGTCTTTGTCTTTGTGTAGTTTTGGGGAGCGGTAGTGAAGAGGTAAGCACGCTGCACTACGGATCCGTCGAGCCGAGTTTGATTCCCTCTCAAGGCCAACACCAGTGATGAATATCTGAACCGGTCCTGGGCCTCCCCTAGGTCGACTCAGCCTCAAATGAGTACCTGATGTGGTTTGTGAACATTGCCACTGCGGAGATCAAGGCGGTCGGGTGTAGCATTGGCCACCCACCCCCTCGTGTGCCATACTGGCCTTCATAGGTGCTTGCTAACAACATTTGCCCCAACAGTCTGTTAAGGCTATAAGGGGGATCTTATTTTTGCGTGTACATGTTTGTTGTATGTGTAGTGTTAGTTGTGTGCTGTGTCCTGGACTTTACTGTGTGTGGTGTGCATATGCTTGTCTGCTGTTTATGTGTGCGACGCACGCGATGTGCATTGTGAGCGAGGATCTGTGCTGCTGACGAACGCGCTGCTGCGATGGAGGTGGCTTGCGTGCAGTGGTGGCCCCTATCGGTCTTGGACTGCAATGCTTCTGCTGCAGATCTTTATCCTTGAGCTGTACATGTGTTCATATGTGTGCGCATGGGGCATTTGATGCCAAGGGGGTGCAGGTGAGATCAAAGGGGGTACTCGAGAGATCAAGGGAGTGCAGGTGAGATCATGGGGGGTACAGGTGAAATCAAGGGGTGCATTTGAGATTATGGGGGGAGTACAGGTGAGGTCAAGGATGATCAGGCAAGATCAAGGGGTGCAGATCAAAGTAAAGCAGGGAATGTCAATGGGGTGCACTTGAGATCAAGGGTTATCTAAATGTGTACACCTGTTTGTGTTTATAGTTAAACCTGCGTGCATGTACCTGCATCTTTACACATGCGTGTGTGCTTGTACTTACGTGTGTACACCTACGTGTGTGCATGTATCTGCGTGTGTGGACCTGCGTTTGTGCTTGTACCTGCGTGTGTATACTTGCGTGTATGCGTGTGCCTGTGGGTATACACCTGCTTGTGTGCGTGTGTCTGTGTGTGTACACCTGCTTGTGTGTGTGTACTTGCATGTGTACACTTCTTATGTGCCTGCGTGTGTACACCTGTGTGTGTGTGTCCTCAGAGAAGCTGGCCGAGGCTCAGCGCGGCTTCTCCACACTGCAGGGGGAGCTGCAGTCTTCTCTGGAGGCTCAAAGGGAGGGGCCCCTGGCCCCCACACCGCCCCCACTGCTCCGCCGCCGCAAGAACGTGTTTGTGTCACACGAGGAGCGCGTGCAGCACCGCAACTTGCGCGACCTCAAGCTGGCCTTCAGCGAGTTCTACCTGAGCCTCATCCTACTGCAGAACTACCAGGTCTCCCGCCACCACCACCACCAGACAAAGATCCCCCCTATAGCCTTAACAGACTTTTGTTAGCGAGTAGCAGCTATGAAAGCGGGCACAGCACACGAGGGGGTGGGTGGCCTACACCTCATGGAAATGTTTGCACACTTCACCAGGTACTCGTTTGAGGCTGAGTCGACCTAGAGGAGGCCCAGGACGGGTTAAGATAATTGTTGCTAGTGTTGGCTGTGAGCGAGAATCTAATTCGGGTCGTCAGGTTAGTAGCGCATCACGCTAACTGCTACACCACCTACACCACTACCTTCGTACCCTCCATCGCCGCGTGAAGAGGGATTTTGGTGCTGGTTGTCGTCGCGAATCCGCCTCACTCCTACCAGCTGTCCCCACGCCGAACTACCCACTGCTTTGCGCGCATACTCCCCCCTTTAACATCCCCCACCACGAGCCTATGTGTGGCACGCCTCAAGAATGTTACCCTTGAGAGTCAGGGTTTTTCATTACTTTTGTTGTTTATCTGAAATATACGATATCCCACTGGTAGCTGCTGTCGATGATTCAGGTCTCGTGTAAGGGTAAGATCCACAAGGTGTGTCTTTACTTACAGACTTTCTATGAGAAACACTCTGGAAATGCATCACAACTATCTCAGGTCATGATTATGATTTCATTTACTATTGGGGGTGTTCACTATGTGGTGAATATAAGCCTATTGATGTTACCCTTGTTTAGTTACCTCATCCCCCCCTTTTCTCCAAATGGACTCGCCCATGTGACGGTTCAATGTCTGTGCTTCGGTTTTTAGGGTTTTTTCCAAGGGTTTTCAGATGTCCCATTGATTTGAACCCTTTGGAGTTGATGTGTATGCTACCCACTCTCGCTGTCTCTCTCAAATCAACTCTTGGCTTGGTACTATCGGATGATTGTCACTTTGGTTACAACTTGTATCCTATTCTTGGTTCTTTTGGTAAAGTCACTTAGAAGGGAAACAATAAAATAATAAAAATATAAAACAAGAACATTTTCTTGTTGTGGTTTTCACACCTGATGATGATTGCTTGTGTTGCAGTCGAAACGTCGTGAGAATTTTATTGTTTTATATTTTTATTATTTTATTGTTTCCCTTCTTCGTGACTTTACCGAAAGAACCAAGAATATGAATCCCTGCAGTCACGAAAGCTTTAAATCAAAATTTTACTTGTATCCTCACAATGACGTGAATTATTATTATGTGTTGTGTATTCTAGAGTTTTGCATTGAACTAGGACCCATAACTAACAGAGGAGGGTCCTTGTCTATAAAAATCTGGAAGTTCACCAACATTCGGTCAAGCAAGCCTGACTGCTGATGAGACATTAAATGTTCAAACCGGCCCAGAGTTTGCGTTGAACCAATATTGCTGAAATTATGCACTCCTAGTAGGCTGTGTGGCTGAAAGGATGTGTAATTAATTTTTTTATGTGGAGAGACATGGGAAGGAGCTTGTTGTTTGTTCAGATATATTATGAACAGTTTAGATAACTGACATAAGTTGAGTAAGGTTTGGTTAACAGATCCAATTGTTTTAAATGAACAGGAGTGTCATGTAATAAGACTTTAAAGGGGAATCTAATGGTGAAAATTATTCCCATAGGTGGCGCGACTTGACGCTGCAATGTGAAACTTTGTAGCACGGGTTTGTGATGTGAGGTTCAGCCACGTTCTTTCCGCTGTGCTACACTCTGCACCAGAACCTGAACTTCACAGGGTTTCGCAAGATCCTGAAGAAACACGACAAGATACTGGAGACGAAGCGAGGGGTGAGCTGGCGCGTCGCGCACGTGGAGACAGCACCATTCTTCATCAGCAAGAAGATTGACCAACTCATCCTGGAGACCGAGGTACAGAGAGACACAGTGACGGCAAGGCTGGGCATTCGCTTGACTGCAGTGATTTCGCCCTGCTTGGCCACACCACCAGGCCATCTCATGGCCGCCCCTTTTGCTGTCCTTCCCCCGCACCTCCGATTAGCACGGTTGGTTACGTACGGTACGAAAGAAGGTCTATATATATACATACATCAGCCCGTCATCAGGTTACAACAACCCTTCTACCCGGCTCCACCAGATGATGTAGTGCCCACCACAGCAGCTGTCACCTCATGGCGTGTGGTCTCTTTGCCCGCAGAACGTCTTCACCAATGAGCTGGAAGCTGGAGACCGGCAGAAGGCGATGAAGCGTTTGCGTGTTCCCCCACTCGGAGCCGCCCAGGTGAACCGCAGGCAGCTTTTGTGCTCACCTGTGCGCACATCACTTGCCTTTTACCCGCACCTCCTGAATGCCTTGCTAGGAGAGAGCTCTCTTGCTCTTTCTGCTTTCTTGTTTAGCGATGCCTGGCGTAGGCTTTCTGCAGAACGTGGCGCCACGCGCGGCGTACTCGCTGTTCTTACACTTTTCTCATTTCAGGATTGCGAAGTAAACTGGGTTGTGGTTGCGTGCCGCTATGTATTGACATTTGCACTTACGTGTATTTTGTATGCATGCGTGTGTTCACGTGTGCGTGTGCCCATGTGTACACGTGTTTGTGTTTTGTTTCTATGCGTGTGTCCGCGTGTGTGCTGGGGTTTTTATCTGCATGCGTATGTCTGTGCTTGTGCGTATGTTGTATGCATCTGTTTGTCCGTGGGTGTCAATTCTTGCATGTGTTGTTTTCTTTGCATGCGTGCGCGTGTGTGTGCTTGCACGTGGGACCCGCAGCCCTCCCCCGTGTGGACCACGTTTAGAGTGGGCCTGTTCTGTGGCGTCTTTCTCGTGCTTGTGGTCACCGTGTCACTGGCAGGTAACGGCCGGTCAGAAACCCACTCCACTAACTCCACCCTCTGGTGTTCCTCTGCTCCTAGCTCCTCTCCTTCCACATTCCACCTCACTGTGTCCTTTCCTCCCCCTTCTCACTCTGCCCTGTAACACCCGCACCCCCACTCTAGAACATCCCCTCGGACGTGATATTCCGAGTCGGAGCTTACTTTGGAATCATCATTGTCCTTTTCCCTCTTGCCTCCTTCGCCTTGTCAGGTAGCGAGTGTGTTTTGCCCCCCACTCCTGCCCTTGCCCCCCCACTTCAACCCCCTCTTCCTGCTTGTTTATTCCTGCTATGCATTCCTGCTCGAGTCATGCTCACATGTTACCCCCAGTGCACTTCCATGAACACTGCTGTTTTCTATTGGCGAGATATTTGACTTTGCACATTCACTGCACATTTTCTTGAAATGCACATAGCTGATTGTGATCATGGCAGAGGAGGCACAGTATCTCCCTCTCTGCGTGTGTCCGTGCCCTTGTTTCCTCACCTTTGTGTTTGTCCCTCCGTATCCCTGCGTGTCTGTTCCCCTGTGTCTCTATGTGCGCATGTTTCTGCACGTACGTGCGTTTGTCTTCCCGTGTGTCTGTGTGTGCGCATCCATCCGCGCCTCTGCGATGCGTTTGTGTCTGCGTGTCCCCGTGTGTCCCTGCGTATCTTTCTATCGTCTCCACGCGCGCACCCGTGCAGCGGCCTATGTGCTGGGCTCGGTCCAAGACGTGTGGCCCATGGTGCGCATCTACCGCGGCGGCTTCCTGCTCATCCAGTTCCTCTTCCTGCTCGGTATCAACACGTACGGGTGGCGGCAGGCCGGCGTCAACCACGTGCTCATCTTCGAGCTGGACCCTCGCAACAACCTCTCCCACCAGCATCTTTTTGAGGTAGCAGCACGACGCTCACCGTTCCCCGCTCCCGGTGAGCACATCTTGGTCAGCTGCCGATTCTGTGCTGCGACTTTTTATTTTGAACGTAGGTACTCACAGAATCTGTTCTCATCAGTCTGTTCAGGCAACATGGAGAATCCTTGTGTCTTTGTGTGCGTGCAGGTAGCCGGGTTCCTGGGAGTGCTGTGGTGCCTCTCCCTGCTGGCGTGCGTGTTTGGGTCGTACCTCCCTGTACCCGTGCACGCCTACCCCTTGGCGCTGTACATCTTCATCCTTCTCTTTCTGCTTAATCCCACCAAGACCTGCTACTACAAGTCACGTGTCTGGCTCCTCCGGCTGCTGGTACGTGCGTCTACTTGCTCGCTCACTCGCAACATCTACCCACTGAGTGATGATGACGTCACTAGAGTGCTTGTGCCAGGTTAGGTGCACTTTCAGGTCATGAGATGGACTCAGTTGTTATGGGTTGATCGACTGAGATGACTGGTACATGCACCACCTGTTCTGCCCACTCGCTCTGACATACACTCACCCATTTACCAGGCTAGTTTAATCCAGTATGAATTGTAGTCAGGCCATAGTGATAGTTGCAAGCTGGCACAGGCATTCCTTTCAAGGGGCGTCACTTCGCAAGCATTATGCGCACATACTCTTACGGCTGCCTGTCAATGCCTCTGCTGTTCCTGCGCATCTCTGCTCCCCACCCCCCCTCCCCAAGTTGCGCGTGTTCACAGCCCCATTCCACAAGGTTGGCTTCGCTGATTTCTGGTTGGCCGACCAGCTCAACAGCCTCGTGGGCATCCTCATGGACCTGGAGTACATGCTGTGCTTCTACGCCTACGAGCTCGACTGGACCAACCTCAGAGGCCTCTGGTACCCAAAAGGTCAGCGTGGCTTCATCCTGCTTCCTTGGCCCTAACGGCCCAATCGGCCCAGTGCGCAGTCACGGTTCTAGGTGCGGCACTGCTGCTGCATGGGCGTGTGTGTCAAGGTGCTACTTCTGCTGCTGCCATGTGTACGACACCTCAGCTTTCAGAGTGCTGGGGTGGTTAGTGAAATTACATGTTGCACGTGCGTGGATAGTGCGCGTTGCATGTATTGTGTGTGGTTATGTGTGCGCGCGTTTTGTTTGTGCATGTCATGCATTACGTGTGTGTTGTGCGCATATGTATTGTGTTACACGCATGTGTGTGTGTGTGTGTGTATTGTGTTCGTGTGCTGTGTAGAAGGGGACCGCGTGTGCAACTCGTATGCATACGGCGTGCGCGCCGTTATCCAGTGCTTACCGGCGTGGATCCGATTCGCCCAGTGCCTGCGCCGCTACCGCGACAGCAAACGAGCGTTCCCACACCTCGTTAATGCCGGCAAATATTCCACTACCTTCTTCGTGGTCATTTTTGCAGCACTCTACAACCTCGGCAAACGTGAGTGTCTCCTATCTCTTCCCTCTTCCACCTCCTCCTCCTTTACAAAGTCTAAACAGAAGATGCTGGTCAGGTGACTTGGCGATAGAGTGGCTCTGCAGGGCTGCGTACAGGAGATGAGAAGCACCACCTCGATTCTTATTGGAGTTGGAAGTCACTCTGACTTTGTGATATGATACAATGTTTGGAGAGCAGAGTGACTGTGGTGGGCAAATAGAGGCCTGAACCCGTATGTGAGAGAGTGAAGACGTTGGCTCGAGGCCGGCGGAAGTGCGAGTCACAGTGCGGCACCCTCCCCCCGCTCTGTGCGGCACCCTCCCCCCGCTCTGTGCGACGCAGTGGGCGGGGAGAGCTCCTCGGCGTTAGAGGTGCGCGTCTACTTCTACTTGTGGGTGGTGGCGTCGCTCGTGAGCACCTGTTACACGCTCACCTGGGACCTTAAGATGGACTGGGGCCTGTTTGACCGCAACGCCGGAGAGAACTCATTCCTGCGCGAGGAGATCGTCTACCCACAGAAGGTGGGAGCGCTGCCGCTGGGTGTTTGCGTGTGCGTTCCTGTTCCATTCTCCAATGTGTGCTCATTCATTTTATTTGGCGGCAGGATGGTAACTGCGGGGGTTAACGCTCGTGCCTCGCAGAAAGAAGCACCTGGGTTCATTTTCTAACTCTGGCGCCTGTGTGGAGTTTATTCTCCCCCTGTTCTGTGTGTACGTATCTGTGTGTTTGTGGTGTTTGTGGGGAATGGTGGCGCAGCGATTCGCATGCCGCAGTATGAACCAAGCGACCCGAGTTCGATTTACGCTCACGACCAACGCCAGTGACGATTATCCGAAGCAGACCTGGACCGCCTCCTCTAGGTTGACTTGCCCTCAAATGAGTTACCTGGTGTAGTGTCTAAACATCACCACTTAGGAGACAAAGGTGGCCGGGGTGTGGTGCTGGTCACACCACCCCATCGTTTGCCATTTTGGTTTTCATCGGTGCTCACGAACAGCATTTGCCCCAACAGCCTGTGAAGGTTAAGCAGGGAATATTAGACTTTGTGCGTGTGTGGTGCGTGTGCGGTGGCGACGGGCAGGCCTACTACTACCTGGCCATCGTGCAGGACGTGCTACTGCGCTTCTCCTGGGTGCTCTACATCTTCATCCCGGAGATGGGCTTCTCCTACATGGCCGACCTGCTCTCGACACTCATGGCCCCCATGGAAGTTTTCAGGTGTGCGTGGGAGCCCGGCGGCCAGCCTCACTGTCGCAACTGTCAGTGTCGTCCGATCCATGTCTCATCAATTATTGATTAGCGATCTGCCTCATTAATCGTGCCTTCTCTGCAGTCTGATCAATGACTTATCCATGTCGACTTGGTGTCTGATCAGTCATCATTGCATTCTACACACTCAGTCTTGGAGTTACTTGGCTTGTTTTTGGGCTCATGCCTGTTCCTGGCTATGTCTGTACACGTGGTTTTGTTAGTGTAAATGTACATTTGTGTACTCGTGCTGATTTGCATGTACACGCCTGGTAGTACATGTAAATCTGCGGTATTGCGTGTTGTGCTACACGTGCATTACACAAGAGCTGCGTGCATGTGCGTGTACGTGTACGTCCGTATGTGAATGCACCAGGCGCTTCGTGTGGAACTTCTTCCGGCTGGAGAACGAGCACCTGAATAACTGTGGGGAGTTCCGCGCCGTCCGGGACATCTCAGTGGCACCGCTCAATGCCGACGACCAGACGCTGCTGGAAGCCATGATGGACTCTGAGGATGGAGTCCGCAACCGGCGCGGCAAGCGCAGCAACGGCAAACGCAACTACAGCTTCTCGCTGCGCCGCAACCGGTTTGTGCTGCGCTGCGACTTCTCGCCGCCTGCATTAATCATTAGCTCGGTCTCCCCTTGGAAAATCTGCAGATGTTAATTACCTTGCATGTATATTTGGAGTTTGCATCTTCTCCCTGTGGTCATGTGGATTTTTCTCCGGGTCCTCCACATTTAGAAACATGCGTTTCAAGTATTTGGCTGCTATAAATTTCCACATGATATGCCACTTCGTTGAGCTATCTTTTGTGGCCAGGTCAATTCTGAAAACAAGCTATATAGCTCTGTGGGTTTTGGCTGGTAAAATTGAAAGTTTTAATTTAGTATAGTTTGGAATGTCGATGTGTATATATTTGATGCATACCTCCATCATGCACGAGTCGTAACCTCAAAGAGGTCTGAGATGGATTCATTACGTAGAATCACTGCTTGCATACCATCAGGCAGCAGGCAAAGAATTGTGGCAAATTTCAGTGGACATCCATACTTTTGAAGGATCCTCCAGTCCTTCTTGGTTGACAGAATCAAAGGCTTTCTTGATGTTTTTGTGTTTTCGAGTATGTGCTTGTGTGTCTAAGAGAGTAGAGAATGGTCGTTAGCACACTGCGTGATAAACCCAACAACATCAGTTGACAAATATCTGAACAGGTGCTGGGCCTCGCCAAAGTTGACTGTCTCAAATGAGTACCTGTTGCGGTGTGGAAACATCACCACTGGCGAGACAAATACAGTTGGGCGTGATGTTGGCCACACCACCTCCACGTGTCAGCCTTCATATCGAGCCTCAGCACTTAAAGTTACAGCCTCGGAGTGCACTGATCTTCGCACGAATGGCATGGTTACGACACCGCCACTTAATGGCGTATCGCGGTGGTTGTTGTCGTGTTTGTGAATGCGCGTTGTGTGCGTGCGTCTTGTACCTGTTCTGCTTTTCTGGCCTCAGGGTGAAGAACAAGGACACGAAGGTTCTCATCGACGACACGGACGACGAGACGCTCAACACGTAAGCGCCGTCGCCCCAGGCGACACTGGCAGCCCCCGAGTATGGCTCCCCACTGACTGTTTTGAGTTTTTTTTTTCATTTCATGAGTGACTGTGGACATTTTTTATTTCGCAAAAACTTTTTGAGAATAATTAATATCACCCACGAAGAGTTCATCTCAGCGGGCAAGAGGTCACCGAGGAGGGCCGTGCTGCCAGGTGCCAGCTCCAGTGCAGAAGCTGCTACTGTCCACCACCCTCCCACTGCTCGCACTCATCACTCTCCCTTCTCTACACTCACACTTTTTCCTTCTCATGTTCCTTCCCACTCGCCATCGCTTTCGCACATTAGTGGGCAGCGCTAATCTTCTTTCCGACGTGTTCTCCCCCCACCTCGCCCACGAGCCCCCACCCCCTCCTCGGGAGTTGGCAGCAGGAGCCTGCACTCACGCACGGAAACGTGCCTCCTCTCACTGGGCATTGAATTCAACATTACTCACGTTTTTTCCAAATTCTATCCTGTATGCGAATTTACGCGACTGCGCTTTCTCTCGAGTGCCGTAGCTTTTTGAAAATTTTATAATAAAAAAAATTGCCGCACATGAGCAGTTATAACCAGATTCTGTGACAGTAAGTCGTGACTGGAATCTCAAATCTCGAGCTTGCAGCTTACGGACGATTGTCTCGGTTTCCTTGGTTATACCTAGACGCCCCGTCGATGGCAAAGCTGAGCTGCCCCCCGTCTCACTCTGCCAATGACGCACTCAGGGCTCAAAGGTGCCGGCGGGCTTTCCAGTGACGCGTGGGGCCCGAGCCCTCTCGACGGGAGTAGTGGGCTCTGCTGTTGGTGGCAGCGTGCAGAGACGCGGTGCCACAGAGACTAGTCCGCCCCTTGGTGGTCACGGGGTGGAAATGTAATGAGGGCTCCTGTGAGGGTTGCCACCTGTCCGGGTTTGAGCCGAACAGTCGGAATTTGGTATCTGCGTGCGGGTGGCAGGAATTGATTTAGTACCGGCATCGTGTTGAACTTTATTACAGTTTACTGCAGTTTTGATAAACCTATGCGGACTGAGAAATATGTCCGGATGTGGTCTCTGGAAAAGGTGGTGACTACTCCTGGGCCTCCAAGGCATTGGAGCTCAGGTCACACGTGACCTTTTCATTTCATTCGTATTTTTTATGCATCGTTTGTCTGGATTTTTGGAGCAGGCTGTGACCAGTTTTTGGCAAATTGGCCAGAGACTTTAATCACAGGGGCAGTTGTGCTCCACAAATGGTGCAAGCATCTTTTTACCATTTAGTGAATGTGAGGTTATGTGTCGCTCTGTATGTTACACGATGAGAGGTGGCCCCACACCAGGACCATGGTCGCCAGGTTCGTGGAGATCCTCAATTCTCGCGTTGTGGAGCCCTGTGCCACCCTAGCGACCTGTATTTCCTCTCGCAGCAGTATGTTGAACTTCTTTCGCACCGTACATAGCAAACTGCTAATCGTTAGAGTAGCAGTCTCGCATCCATGCAAACCCCAAGCCGTAAGCTATGCATCTGTGCTCTTATAAAATTCAGTATAGTGCTGTCGACCTCTTTTAAACGTAGGTTCAAGTCTGGATGAACCCAAGTAGCTATGGATGTACCGCTAGATTTCATATCGAGGTGTCAACTGCTGTCCCATGCCCACTGGTGGTGCTGTTTGACCCAGTGTCTCCAGGTACCCCTGTATTCCCATAATCTCTGGGTGGCCATGGACAGTGGAGGCTTTGAGCTTATAGGGCTTGGGGCCCCATTTGAACCCGCATCAGTGGGTTTGAGGCAGTTTTATTGCAGAAGAGGCTTGTGTAGCACTTGTTAAATAACAACCGTTCGGTGTTACTTTTAACGCCATAAATAGCATTGACTCCTTCCTGGGATTTTTTCAAACGTAACCAAAATCTTATGTCGATCAGGTTTGGTTTCAGGGCAGAGAGAATCTTACAATTGCACGCTGCATTAGTGCCCTTAGCCAGCCTTAATGGACACAGGCGATTGCAGAGACGTCGCACAGCGTGCAGGAGGAAGATGATCCCCCCCCCAAGCGGCTGTAGCTGGAAGGCAGAGCTGGTGTTGGTGTCTGTGCTGTTGTAAACTTGCTTGTGTAGGTAGGTGGGGTTTCTCTGGGCTCTCCTAGTGGATTGCGATTGGCTGTGCAGTTATGTCCCGTGCGCTGTCCTGTGGTAGTTGTCGTTTGTGATTTTCAAAACGGATTCTTGTAAGAAACGCAATGGCGGTCCTCCCCTTCCAGCCCAACCCCCTGCATGCTGCGTCATTGCTCTGCCCTTCTCATGGGCAGGGTACTTGTGGATGGTGTCGTGTTCGTTGTTTGAAGTTGCAGGTAAAACAAAACAGAGGCAGTTTTTGCCTTCAATCAAACTTTATTTACTGTTGTATGTCTTAATTTATTTACAAAATGTTTTAATAATGCAAATTAGTAGTTGTGAAAATAAATTAGTGTATAAAATTCTGCCTGTCTTACAGATGCTACTAAATCAAAATACACAAAAGTTTGCCACCGCTGGGTTTTTTGACGGCGTAACTTGTAACGCAGCGCAGTCACTTCTGCTGTCTGGAGTCAAAGCAGCAACTCCCAGAGCGAGCGGCGTCTACTTTAGAACCACTCAAGGCAGCACAACACAGCCACCGGCAGGCGCCTCATGGAGTCGCCAAGCACGTTTGGGTTGTTGGGCACCGTCACATTGCTTCCCCTGCGATGCCAATTTGGTCGTCAAAGGTTTTTCTTAAATCTAAACCTCTTAGCAGTGCAATTTACCACTTGCATCATATAAAAGCCACGCTCCTGACAAAAGACTTGGGATTCTGTTTTTGCACATAAGCCCCGATGTGGTGATATGGAAACAGAAAGAAGCAAGACAACTCCTTGTCCTGGAAGGCCGACCAATCTCCACTTTCTTCCACTCATTAAAAGGTCCTAGTTTCAGAGGCTGCGCGGCCGGTGACATTCTTGCCGCGTGGCTCACACGTGTCCATGTGCTTCTTCAAAAACTCTGAACAGACCTGTACCGCCGTCGAGACTCTCTCACGATGTCAACCGATCCTAAAGCACACGCACACTACAACGTACACACTAACAGTCTCGATGCCGGACGAGTTCTTATTTTGCTCACACGATCTCTCGCTCGCACCGTCCACGTGCTGTTTACACGGCCCCCACCTAAAATCACAAAAAAATCTACGTAAAAAGCGTTGCCTACCCTGCGCAGGCCTCTCGCGGCATTGCTGCACAGGGGGGTGGGGGGGGAAGAGGATGCCCCCCTCCTCCCCAGCACCGCCGCCCCTCTCAGTGCTGTCCCTCATAGCCGCTCGTCAAGTTCCCCCTGGCCTCGTCCCCCGAGCTCTCGTACGAGTGCACGGCCGGGTCGGAGCCGTCGTATGACGACGCGTGGTCAGGGAGGCCGCCCCCCCCAACCACTGCTGCGTGCTCCGAGTGCAGGGCCCCCCCTGAGCCACCCTGGTCCGGCGGCTCGGCCTCCCCATCCGGGCCCTCGTAGCAGCCCTGCAGGTCGGGCAGGAGGCCGTGGTACATGATGTCTCTGTCAGGCAGCGCTGAGTGCAGCCAGCGCTTGCGCACCCGGCGCGCGTTGGTGCACATGTCGGCCGCGATCACGTTCATCTCGCTCTCGCGGAAGTTGGGGGCGAACTTCTGGCAGTAAACTGAGGAGGCAGCGACACGGGCGGGCTCTTCGTGAGAAAACTACAACAGCACTTGACTCGGAGCAGATGATAACTCACAGCACCGCAGGAACATCAGACATGGATTTGGTGGAGACGAAGGCTGAGGCAACTGATATGAGAAAAGACGTATGCTGAGGTGACGCAAATCAGATAGTGGTATTAATTAACTTAGGACATATTTGTGCAATGATGTAAGAGGTTGATACGTAATTTGTGGTATTACTGCACCATGAATGCTGTGTAAACCTTGTATAAGTTTTCCGTAAAATGTCACGTGGCTTGAAACTCTCAGCTTCCCCTCCAACGTTCCTGCTTGGGGCCAGGTATTACAGGTGGTCGATTATTGATGATACTAATTATTTGCGTCTTAATGCTTTTTCATGAGGGTCCTGCTAATTTGCAATGTTTGGTCAATACCAATGACATTGTTTTCAGTGAAGGGAGGAAACTGGATAACCCGGAGGAATCTGATGACAGAGGGAGAACTCCACACAGGCACCTGTGTCATGAATCAAACTTAGGTTCGTGCCACTCTGCCCCCCCCGTGGATGAGGAGCACTTCCTGGAATAACTTTCTAAAACTCCTAGATTGGGGTTCCATGTTTTTCTCACTTTCCAAAAACATGCATTCACGGGGTGATGGCTGAGAGCAACTGCTGAATAATCGAACGCGGACTGTGGAAGGGGTGAGAAGAGGTGAATGCTGGAATATGGAGGTGCACAAGAATGAGGTGAAGGCTGTCTGGGTGACGAGGTGGAGGCTGTCTGGGTGACAAGCGGGAGGTCACATGACGGTAGGTGGTGACCTACGTTTAACAGCATTGAGGACACGGCTGTCCAGCGGCTTGCGCGTTGGATCGTTCGTGGAAGAGCGAATCCCAGTGCCACAGCTGTTTGCCAGAGTGGTTCTGCACCCACAGAGCACGACCACATACCACACATACAACAACACGCAGCACACACACAGACCCACACAAGTACACCCCAAACTACACCAAAAACAGGAGTCTATTAGGCTAAATGCAGAACTCGTGTCTGTGTGTGAATAGGTTTGTGTTTATGCACACCTCTGTGAATTGATGTCTATGGGCAGCAGTCGCCTAGTGGCTACTGCAATGCAATACGAACCCAGCTACTTGGGTTTAATTTCCAGTTACGGACTACATTTGTGGCATTCGGCATCTGAACCTTTTATTAAATGAGTGCCTGGTGAAGTGTAAATGATGTCAGCACTGATGAGACAAGGTGGCTACACCAAACCTACATGTGCCATGGCGGTCTTTTGAATAGGTGCTCGCTCACGGCACTGGCCGCTCGGAGCCCGTGCAGCCACATGGGCACGTGTTTGTGCATCGGTACCGGTCAAAGAATGCTGCAAGCAGACGGCGCAGCAGCACCTTGTGCCGCACGCCGGCACACAAGTGACAGTTCATGAGCTGCCCCCGCGTGATGTAGACGCCCGTTCCTGCACACGTGCGGCACGAGGAGTCGTGTCGAGTCCGGAGTCCACGAGTGCACAGCAAGTACAGCATGGAGACTGCACCGAGTCTTGTCAGCACAATTAATCTTAACAGGATGCAAGTCACAAGCGAACATCGGTGTCGTCCACTGACCTGATACCAGCTCAAGCTTCTCCCCAGGGTCTCCCTCGGAGTAGAGATGAGGGTGGCAACGCTGACCAATCTGTGTGAGTAGGTCGGGAGGCAGGGCAGACAGCTCGCAGCGCGAGCCACGGGCCGTGGGAAGAGACTCTACACGCTCACAAACTACACGCACACACAAATTCAGTACACAGGGCAGCCCATCACGACACAATTGACAGTGTGCATATCTATTCTGACATCACACGAACACTTATTTTTTCATCCAAATGTTTTAATGTTTGGCAATACCTACAATCCACTGCCCGAAGCTACCCCAACCGTCTGCCCCCCAACTCCCAATTCTCTCCCAGCTAGGGAGCCAGACCTACCCGAGTGATAGGCAGCTGACATCATGCTGTACACGTGGCCGTAGTATTCGTCGCCACCCTCTTCGTAAGGCTCCTCTTCTCCCTCCTCCTCGTCCCCCACCTCCCCGTCTCCTTCCTCCTCCCCCTCCCCCTCCTCTAGCCCAAAGGCACTGCCCCCTGCCCCTGCTGGGCTGTCCCGACCCTGCAGGCAGCTGCCGGCACCAGGGCTGTCCTGGTCGCCGCGCCCTGCATAACCAGACGCTTCAGCAGCAGCAACAGCAGAGAGAGAGTGGGGAGGCCATGTGGGGAGCTCTGCAAGGTGCAGGCAGAGGTTGTTGGGAGGCAGCTGGAGGGTGGTAGGCGCATATGCTGCTCCATACCTGTGGCCCCGCCATGGCTGTTGCGCTGGGCCTTGCTGGCCACGTTGCCTTGCACCCCAGGGCCCTCGTACAGCCGCTTGTGCGTTGGCACGCACTGAATCACCGCCTGCTGCGCGTCTCCTCCGCCCTCTAATTTCACGCGCGGTAGCAACCCATGTAGCCGGTTGCCCGAGCCCTGCTGTCCGGCCAACGCGTGCGCAGGGCTCGACTGCCCTGCCTGGGGACACGGGGAAAAGGGTCCAGTGTAATGGTGGGGCGAGAGGATGCAGAGCAACTTTGCCACAGTCGCGCAGACTCCACACTCCCACAGCCATGCTCCCGACTTAAGACGCTTATGCCAAACAAGGGCCTGAGTTGTATATTCTTGTCGATACCTAAAGAGTTAATGCCATTTTCTAAATTAAAGATGGCACAAAGATGTTTAGAGATGAGGAATATCAGCCATCCAATGTTTTTCCCTCATACTTAAATATCCACGGCCACATCCTTTGTGTGAGCATTATATGTCTTTACAGTGTTGCTGTGTGTTTTCATCATGGGTGTGAGTTGTGTGAATAGTGTTGCTGCGGGTCCACAATGTGTGCAGTCATGTAATGTACTCTGTAATTTTGTTCCCATGGTGGTTGTGTTGCTATGTTTTAGTAAAGTAATGCTGTGGTATATTGTGTGTGTCGTGTGGGTCCCTTAACCAGATGAGAACTCAAGAGACTAGGAGTCTTATTTGCAAAAATTGGACACCAAAATTGATAAAACACAAATAAAGTACAGTAACGAGGCAAATAGAAATCAACAACATCACATGAGACATCGGAAACATTGCATGAACATACATCAATGTTAAATCGACTTTCTGGAGTGCGAGTTGTCTCAGATTATAATTCGACTGATCACAGCACATTACAAAATTAAGTTAAAGAAACATTAAACAGATAAAGGGAGTGACTATTGCACTAATGTGTAAACAGATGGCATAGGAGTCAAATGCAAGTTAAGTTATAAATAATCTCCAGCTCAACATCAAATTGGGACAAACCACGAACGTTTGTGAAGTGATGGAATCCAGGTGTTGGGATATTCACAGAGAAAAGTGCCCAGTGTGCTTTCACTGAGTCGATGTCTCTGTGTGAGGTTATGGGTATTTGCAGAGTACCTGAAGCAATGGAATTCTAGGAAGTTGAGGCATTCTCAGAGGATGAGTGAGAACCATGTGAGCTTTGTGTCCTCGGTGAAGTGCACTTTGGCGTTATGGGGTATCTTAAGATTGAGGAATTTGGTCCTGAATAAACACTAGTTGTGTACTGTATGTTACATGAGTGTAAGTAGTGTTGCAGTGGTTGCTTGTGTGTGTGTGTTATGTGTTTTTTAAACAGCTTCTGTTCGGCCAGATAGAGGGGACTATACGGGCATGGCACGGGCTAGAGAAGAGATGGAATGATGTGGCACGAGATGTGGAGATGAGTGTATTTGCCGATGACTGGTACCAGGGGTGTTAAGATCGCCCTGTGGAGGAGGCTCGTGAAGGACGTTACTGGGCAGTTGGAGGCAGTTGCCCTCCAGCAACAAGAGAGGGAAGAGGAGCGACGCTCACAACATGAGCAGATCACCGGGTGGATAAAACACAGCAAGTTAGCACAGTGGGAGGCACAGGTGGTGCATCGATTGGCCAGTCATCTTAGTCAACCCATGGCACCTGGGTCTGTCACGTGACCTGCTAGCAGGCGTTCGACACTTCACATGGCCTCAAAATGCACATAGCCTAGCACAAGCGCTGTGGTGACATTACCGCCACTTAGTGGCAAAAGGTGGTTGTGTGTGTATATTGGGCGAGTGGTGGTGTAGCCGCTAGCATGCACACATACGTGCGCGCGCGACGCATGCGTCTGCCCAGGTGGGGAGTGCCGATTCGGGTGTTGCTGATAGGCCGCCCCCGGCGGAGTGGTCCCATCCCTCCCCGGGCCCTGCACATGTCGCCCGTGGCCCTGCCCAGGGCCCTGGCCCTGCCCCTGCCCTGGGCCCTGCCCCGGCGGGGAGGGCTGGTGGGTGAGGCGGTAGAGGTGTGGGGCGCCCTGCGAGGTGGTCTCCGCCGCAGAACTCTCCGACTCCGAGAGGCCGTCCTCCGGCTGTGGAGCCGTCTGTGAGTCGCAGCGTGGGGAGCTCACTTTGGCAGCCATCTGCAGTCAGAATCAATGGCGTGGACACATGACCCACGTCGACGTATGTTTGTCGTACACGACAGAACATATTCGAAAGACGTGCATGTTCTACAAACAACGAAGAACACAGACGTGTGCATGCTGTACACAATAACATATTGTCACGTTCACTCTACGTGTACGCACACACACTGCTGCGCGACTGCCATACCGCGAGCTCAGCGCCCCGCTCGACGATGCCACGGATCTGCAGGAAGCCGGCCGTGTACATCACCAGGAACTGTTCGCACGCCGGGAGGCTGAGCCGCCCCGTGTAGCAGAAGGTGAGCACCTGCTGGAACGAGCATGGCTGGATCGCAGGAGGCAGTTCCACCTGTAGGGGCCCCTCCGAGCCGTCCTCTGCGTTTGCTGGGGGAACACGGCCGCTCAACTCCATTCAAGCTGTCGATTCTGTGCGGCAAAACTTCACTTGCGGTTGTATTTGATGTATACAATCGTCTCTTGACGTACTCGCACAATTATCAACCCAGAATAATTTTGATGTTATCTTTATCATAGTTTGACTGTGAGTGGCTTTTAAAAGTAATTTGTCGTGAGTCCACTTTCATTCCAGGACAATGATTAAATGTAATCCTGCTGTATATTTAGTCACTGTTTTTGACATCTTCTGTATATTTGCTTCATTGTTGTAAATGTTTCTACGTCATTTCTTTTGTCATTGTGTGACACATGACACTATCCTGGCTTCTTGCGTTCTCACCTGGTTAAACACAATCACTGAGTGCAAGCACACTACAAACGTGAAGACGCCTAATTCACATTTGTGTACACTAGACATGAAACCTCTACGTGCTGCTCAGGCTCACGGTGGAGCGATGTTGCCTGTGACAGCTGTAAATTTAGCTTGTCTTTGTCCTCTATAGTGGCTCAGCGATAAAGCAAGTGGCTCATGATCAGAAGGTTCCAAATTCAAATACAGGTTGGGAGTCGACTTAGCCCATCATCCATCAGGGGTCAATAAAATGATTACCACCGAGTACCACTTTGTGAGGAAGTCAACAGTTGTCCTCTTGATACTCGCCCCCACCATAGGTTAGTGGAATTTCCACCACTGGCTCTGAAGGCCTGTAAGAGATGAGCAATGCCTCAATGCTCAAAGCAGGAAATAACTTTTGACTGATTATTTTTCCTTGTTTACCTATGAAAGCCTCATTAATCGTCAATAATTTTTTTCAGGATAGTCATGCCAATTTATCGCAGGAAAAAGCGATTTTGCTGCTGTGTGTAATTTGCAGATAAGGATTGGTGATGTTTGGCCAATACCATTTACATTGTATGTGGGTTTGTTTTCGCGATGGGAGAAAACCGGAGAACCCAAAGGAAGCCCATGCAGAACAGGGGGTGAACATACAAACTCAGCACAGAAAGGTGCCCCAGTCAGGAATCAAACCCAGGTCGTGTGTGCGCCCAGTACCTGTGCTAGCGAATATGTCGCGGAAGTAGGCGCTGCTGGCGGCCAGCACGGCGCGGTGCGCGCGGAAATCCTGTCCGCGGGCACGCACCGTCACGTCACAGTAGAGGCCCTGCATGCGCTGCTCGTTGAGGCTGCACAAGACGGCACTGCCAAAATCCGGTACCTCCAGTTGCACGCTGGACGCCATGGCAGCTTCACTACGCCACGGCCCCGCCGCCCTCACGCACCACGACACCGTTTCAAAAGCGCCGGTGGGAAGCGAGCGAACGTGGCCTCGCAGAAACTCCCCTAGGCGCCTCCTGAGCCGTAACGGCTCCTTCCCAACATCGCACGGCCGCGGCAGTCGCGCACTGAACGGCTCGCGGAGGCAGGGGAGAGGACCGCCCGCCAGACCTGCCACAGGCGCGGGACAGCAAGCACACACGACGTGAACAAACTGCCACATGCAGTGCCTAGTGTTGTCCTTTCCAGCTGCTGCTTGACATCACAGGTTCTACACACATTGTTGTAGTCCAACGCCGTGCCACAGGTTTACATACAGCGCCACTTTGGAGAATTATTCAGTTTCTGCAACGATCTCTTCTAGAGCTATAGAGTGGACTGAGGATAAATGTTAAAGTTTCCTCCTGTGAGTATGTATGTTTGATTGCTAGAAGCAAATGTTGCACATCTCAAAGCTGCGCATCCTTTGACAAACAGTGGGTATCGTGTTGCCATTGAGCACATCGTGTCCTCAGTACAATACACGAGATGAGCCTCCATGCAAGGTAGTAAAATTAACACATGGCCACCCACTGCGGGGCTCATTAGCAAACAGTCAATCACCACCAGCCACCATCGTCTCCATTGCAAGATGCTGACATGCAAACCTGCAAGTGCCAAGCAGACAGAGCAATGTCTCAGCATGCAAAAGCAGCCCTTTGTACTTTGGTTTCAACTTCATCCCAACCCAATAGGTAATGATGTTAGCGAAACAGTTGGTCTGAGCAATGGAGATAAACGATATAGAATGCACCAACGTGATCACAGCTGTAATGTCCACTGATATGGCCAGTCCACACACACACACGCGGAGAAAACTACTTGTGTTCAGCAGCCTCTGAGGAACACAGCTCGTCACCGGGAAACATCACAGAGAAAATCACTCACTGCACGGAGGACGCAGGCAAAGTTGGGTATGAAGGCGCTGCCGTCGCCAGTAGCAGTGTGAGATTCCGTGTTGCCGTGCAAGCGTGCGTGTGCGTGTATGCACGCAGACAATGGGCGGGATTGAGACGGGACCCAGACGGCCTAAATGAGTCATCACCATTCGGCATATCCCACCATGTGACACGCATGTCAAGCAGCAGCGCGGCCCGCGTTAACATTCTATGTACACACTCACACTGTACCAGCGTGCGCCAACTTACTTTGTGCCCTACAGTCACGGATCCTATCCAAACGTGCCAGTCACAAAACATAATAACCAGACAGCAGACAACAGACAGCAGGCTATACAAACAGGCTATGCAGCCATACAGCATACAAACTAAACAGCAGGCTAATCAAACAGCAGAATGTACAGCCGCACAGCAGAATAACGAGAAAGACAAGCGTTCACCCAGATAAACAGCAGACTTTAAAGCCAAAGAAAACGAACCAAACAGAAAGCAGACGATACAACCACACAGCAGGCTACCCAGACAGCAGACCAACGAGACAAACATCAGGCTAACCAGACAGCAGACCAACCAGACAAACAGCAGGCTAACCAGACAGCAGACCAACCAAACAAACAGCAGGCTAACCAGACAGCAGACCAACCAGACAGCAGACCAACCAGACAAACAGCAGGCTAACCAGACAGCAGACCAACCAGACAAACAGCAGGCTAACCAGACAGCAGACCAACCAGACAAACAACAGGCTAACCAGACAACAGACCAACCAGACAAACAGCAGGCTAACCAGACAGCAGACCAACCAGACAAACAGCAGGCTAACCAGACAGCAGACCAACCAGACAAACAGCAGGCTAACCAGACAGCAAACCAACCAGACAAACAGCAGGCTAACCAGACAGCAGACCAACCAGACAAACAGCAGGCTAACCAGACAACAGACCAACCAGACAAACAGCAAGCTAACCAGACAGCAGATCAACCAGACTAACAGCAGGCCATGCAGACAGCAGACCAACCAGACAAACAGCAGGCTGACCAGACAGCAGACCAACCAGACTAACAGCAGGCCAGACAGACACCAGACATCAGGCTACACAGACAACTGTTTACAACAGACGGCAGACTACATAGAAGGCAAGTTATACACACAGACAGCAGGCTACACAGACAACTATTTACAACAGACAGCAGACTACACAGCGCCAAGTGATCCAATACAGTTTACCCACAATACTTTTTAACATCAACTCACACGCATCGCTGCGCTATTAAATGACAAGGCCCTAAATACAGCTACTCCACTCACATTCAACAAGATAGTCTCTCAATGCTTGAATAGGACTTCACAGAGCTATACAGACCACTCATCCACCACCACCACAACTAATCAACCGGTAAGGTGGCTCAGCAGTAGAGTCAACGGCTGTCAATCGGAAAGCTGTGAGTTCAGATCATGGTTGGGGTTGAGTCAGCCCATTATCCCTCCAGGGTCAATAAAATAAATACCACTTCGTGGAGAAGTCAGTTTCAGTTTATTTATTTATTTTGGTATAGCCCTGTGAGCCATTCAGCTCTTGAATCGGGTGCAACCACAACAAACAAAAACACGAACAAGAAAAACATCTTAAAGTGACTTTGTGTGACTGCAAACAGAAAATCCATGAAAAAAAGAGCAAAATATTCCTAAAAAAAGCACCGTACACCAACGCTGTTAGGGAGGTGTAATTGTATTAAGTTATGCAATCGCATGCGATTATGTTGTCCACGCTATAGGCATATCAAAATCAGAATCAATTATTGTAAAGGAGATGAGCATAATCGGTTTATTTTGGGTTAGATCGTGTAGGTAAATTGCCAACTTTTTATTGTAGCCTCCACTACATGACAGAGCCATATAAAATCAGGTTGTCACGTGCGCAAATAATGCTAGTTGATTTGGTGCCCAAATGAGCACCGCCTTGAGGTTCATTTGGGCAAGAGATCGATCACTTTGACTTAACCAAACACGACTCATCGCCTACCGCACACCGCTCATCCACAACCACGCCACTCCCTGACGACCACTACACATTTACTCGTGCACAGGACTGACGCAGGCACGTTCGTGCCGGCTACGCGTGCCGCACACCGCCTCAACGCATTGCACTCGTCAACACACATGGACCATTCACCGGTAAGACATTTGCTTTGTCTATTGATTGTGGCCAGTGCGCGCCAGGCGGGGTCGCAAAGAAACAACACCTCACAATCCTTAACGGGGTACCATCCTTTACCAGTAATCATCCTTCAACAGACTAGGGGAGGGAGGCTAGGCGCCCCCACGTCCAAGTGCCCTCAGCTGTGGCCGAACACGGCCTCACTCAGCGGGGCCAACCATACGTGTGCTGTGCCGTGGCCTCCCCGCTGCCTTGTGCACTACCGTCAGCTCTGCCACGTACATTATTTGCACTTTAACTGAGCGCAATTCGTGCGCTGTTGGATGAGCTCCTGCGAGCTCTGGCGCAAGGGGGGCGTCTTAGGAACGCGGCGTGGGCATTGCCATTCCGCGCACGCTCCCGCCGGCGTTATGTCATCCGCTAAGTATGTCATCAGCATGCGGCGGCGGCAGCGTGTAAACACTTTAATGTGCATTAGCGAGGCGCACACGCAGGCCCGTGCATGCCAAACGACAGCGGCCAGGGTCGCGACGGCGAGAAGACACCACAAAACCACCTTGTCTTGTCACGGCGCTCACCGCCATCTGAGAATATCGGGTAATACTCTTTGGTTTTATTCGGTAAAGTCACGTGCCCAGCGACCGTCCACGTGGGGTCACACGTGGGGTCACACGTAGGCCAGAGTTTGACCCCTCCTAACCACCCAGCTACCGTGTGCACCCAAGGGTTGGGTGTTGCGTGAGCACAGATTCGGAGTGTGAGCGCGGGGTCTGTGTGCTTACAAATTCTGTGAGCGCAGCTGTGCAGCAGCCCCCCTCCCCCAGCTCACACGCCCACTCAAACACGGCAGCGGAGCGGCACCTCCACGCCCGTGTGAGCGGTAAACATTCGCCACTGTGAGCCGCGAGCAAACAAGCTCAACTCCTCGCTGCCTCACGCGTCGAGCCGCCACGGGCCCTTTAAACAATAGAACATCCCAACAGCGCCGCCACTTCACACAAAGAATGCGAAGTTGTAACGCGCTGCGCTTGCTCACGAAACGCGCGGCATAACGACACACCACCACACAGGCGACAGCTCTCGCTGTCTCACAGAACAGGCCGAGCACCTACACATCACACACAATTGTGTGTGCTGTGTAGGTGGGAAATCTGCATGGCCGGGGCCACAAAGTTTTATTTTTCCAAGCATTCAAGTCAACGTGATTTCCTACTCAAATGAGTTTTGAGGTGATGCCCATGTCCTGTTTACAGACCTGAGCCAGTGGTGGAAATTCTGCATTCTATCCATAGGCCAACGGTTGACTCCCTTGCAAAGTGGAACCTGTATCGACATCGTAAGGATGATGGGCTGATAAACCGCAAACCAGGATTTAAACTCGCAACCTTCCTACTGAGAGCCGCTCGCTCTACCTCCGAGCCACCTGTCGGGTCAACAATAGTCACGGGGCGAAACGGCGAATTCATATTCTTGGTTTTTTCGGTAAAGTCACGTTGTTTCTCTTCAACGTGACTTTACCGAAAAAACTGAGAATATGAATTACTGCAGTCACGAAAGCTTTAAATCAAAATTTAAACGGCGAATTGTTAAATCAGCCGCGTGGTGTTCGTAACGATGCGGCGATGTGTCCGGCCCAATGAACTCCCTTGAGAACGCCAGTGACACGTCCAGAGTCTCACTCCCGTGCAGTTATTTCACCGACTCGTAGTTACAATTGGGCCTGCCGTAACACGACAGGACAGCGCTGGGCCAGCCTGACGGCGCAGGCTACATATACAGGAAGGAATGGAGGCATTTGAACGGGTGGCGCGGTGAGCCAAGCACGATTCGTCTGTTTAGGTCGCCAAAGTGTTCGTTGTACGAGAATCCCCCCTGCAATGGAAATCCGCCTCCGGTCAGTTCCGCATCTATAGGCGTCATGTCTAAGCACAACCCATTTCACACTCTCAGTTACTAATCACCCACACATTCATCACATTCACACCAACCATTATTATTACACTCACCGTCATAGTCACTCACAATCACTACCGTAAACCATGATCATTACACTAATTCACGACCACCCTTATACACTTACCCTAAGTCTCACCCGTTCTCACCTGTAATCTTGACTCACACCTTCACGATCTTGCCCTGCCCGCACCCATCGCTAGCCCTCGGCTTCTCGGTGCCGCAAATCCTCTCTCTCTCTCGAGGAGTCCCCTCTCTCGAGGAGTCCCGTCTCTCCCCTCCCTCGAGTCCCCTCTCTCGGGTCCCCTCTCTCCCCTCCCTCGAGTGCCCTCTCTCGGGTCCCCTCTCTCGAGGAGTCCCGTCTCTCGAGTCCTCTCTCTCTCTCGAGTCCTCTCTCTCCCCTCTCTCGAGTCCCTCTCTCTCGAGTCCCCTCTCTCTCGAGTCCCCTCTCTCGAGGAGTCCCGTCTCTCGAGGAGTCCCGTCTCTCGAGTCCCCTCTCTCGAGTCCCCCTCTCTCCCCTCCCCTCTCTCGAGTCCCCTCTCTCGAGGAGTCCCCTCTCTCGAGTCCCCTCTCTCCCCCTCCCCTCTCGAGTCCCCCTCTCTCCCCTCTCTCTCGAGTCCCCTCTCTCTCGAGGAGTCCCCTCTCTCCCCTCCCCTGAGTCCCCTCTCTCCCCTCCCCTGAGTCCCCTCTCTCGGGTCCCCTCTCTCCCCTCCCCTCTCTCTCGAGTCCCCTCTCTCTCGAGTCCCCTCGCCACTCTTCGCGCCACTCTCCCCCGACTTTTACTGTCGCGGCCTGTGCGGCCTCACCCGATTATAAGCCTGGGACTTGCCCAGCCCCTTCGCGGCCAGGAGGCTCCGCGCCCGGGGCCTCAACAATCCGACCGGAGGGGGGGGTCCCGGACCTAGCCCTGCGGTGGCGCCGCAGCGCGTGAGCAGTGGCGCGGCCGAGGAGGTGAAGTGAGTGGCGTCCCGAGAGGAGACTCTGCCGGGCAGTCGAGCGCACTGCCCAGGGAGAGCGGGGTGAGGAGAGAGCGCCGCTGCTTCGTGAAGTTACCTCCATGCGCGACACCTCCGCGGAACAGCCCCGATCCGCGCGCTCCGTGCTCCACCGCGCGTCCTGGGTGCGGCCCCAGGCGACGCAGCCGAGCGCCGAGTGCGGGGCGGGGGCACCGCCTCGCACGCGTGGACTGCAGTGAGGCGACAGTACTGTGGACTGTGCCCTGGTGTCACCACTACACTTCTTATTTCGTATAGCTGCTGGTGTAGATGCGGAGCAACAACCACAATTTCATATTCAGGTGGTCAAGCCAGATAACCGCGTCAGGAGCAGCGGAGTGTATCGCTGTGATGATGTCTCCTTCGTATTTGTGGATAGGGCATTAGGTCGTTGTTATACGTTGTTTCTGGTCTCATCTGAATGACCACAGTCGATTTAAAGCTTTCGTGACTGCAATGATTCATCTTCTTTGGTTCTTTCGGTAAAGTCACGTAGAATAATCACTCAGCCATTTCAATGCTAAATTCTATGCTAATTCCTTTGTCAAGGCGCTTTGTTTCTTCTCACACAGCTTAAAGGTCGCGATCTGAGCGTGGCTTTTTCACTCCTCCAGACAGTCTCGTCCCTTCACCTGATGAAGGCCGCTTGTGTTGTGGCCGAAACGTCGTGAGAATATTATTGTGTTATTTTATTTTATCAATTTATTATTTTATTCTCATTCTACGTGACTTTACCGAAAGAACCAAGAATACAAACCTAGTTCGGTCAACCGTGTCGAGCCGAAACACGCGGTGATAAAGTCGCTTTGGGTTTCTTGAATATTTGTTCCAGCGTCGTTACCCTATTGGAATCCTGTGTTCCAATCACAGCAGTCGATACGGTACTCTCCAGCGGTAGACTGACCATGGCTGATGTCATCGCAATCAGGAAATCTAGGTATAAATATTGCGCTGTTTCCAGCTGTCTACAACAATGACTTTCAAGTCAACGTAAGCGGCCAAGGCTGCTTGATGGTCCAGCTCTCGTTGATTCACGCCAGTCACTCGCTCACTGACGGTCAAGTCAACTTATCGCCGCGGCTGCAAAATGTTTACTACCTCGCGTGGTATACAGGAGGTTGTGGGTTCGAGCCCGACCCTGACGCCTGAATGTTTTGAGTTGGCATGTTGTCCCCATGGCCGAGTTGAATATTCTCCGGGTCTCCCTCCACATTTAGAATCAACGTGCGTTTAAAGTATTAGTCTTCTATTTATTTCCACATAAGCCGCTTCTGAAAACGAGCTACATCGCTCTGTGGGCCTTACCTCCGTACCTCCCGACGCCGGGGGGACCGAGTCTCCTCGAGTCCAGCTCCTACCATCTGGAAACCCACGCTCGCTACCTGCCACCGGACAACCGAAACTCGCCGAGTGTCTCTCAATTCCGTGATCTGTGCAAGACACGCCTACTCAGACTTGCCGTCCCATAACATCTAAAACGCTTTACTTTTCATTTGTGTTCCTGTTGCTCCATGCCCCGTACCGTTCACGTAACCGTTGAAATGTGCACTGATGCCTACTTTATTGCGGGCGATATTGGCACATCCAATAAATATTACCTGGTAAAATAAAACAGTTGAGTGTTTATCACTCTTTTATCGCTCTTACGATAGTTACCGTTTCCATGAGTTTCACTCTTTGATTCCTCCTGTATTGAGGACTCGGTCTTCCAGACTTTCGTCTCATCCAATTGTTCACCTACCACACTGCAGCTCACAACATACCTGCTCGGTCACAATTCAAGTCTGCGTCTTGCCCTGCAATGCGACACTGGGACGTCCTCCCTTCGTCCATTTCCCCAAGCTCTTCGGAAAGTTCCGTTTGTTATCAGCCGCTTGACAATTATTACTAATTTACATTTCTAAGGCGCATTTGTTTTAGGGCTGTGCTAACCGTGTAAAAATATATAACTATTACGTTTTGTTCAGCCAACCCATTGTACGTGACTTGTTTTACTAATTTGAGTTCAACTTTGCAACCCTGTAATTTGTGCTCAATGGTTTATCGGACAATACGAGATAAGAGACTGTCTTGAACTTGCCTTTTTCTCAACATTTTTGAAAAACATCTTCTCTTGCTGTTAAGTCATGCTGAGAATGAATCAATGGACTCCTCATTTGTATTCTGCCGCTTGTTGTACGGTTGGTCTAATGGGCCAAAACAAATAATGAGAAAGCGTTGTACATTAAAGCCACGCTTAACGACCAATGCAGGCAGTTTTATTTTCAAACTTCAAAGCCAAGTTACTAAATACAATCAGACATAACATGTTCCAATAGCAAACGATAGCTCCAAATTAAATACTCAAAAAGGTACATTTTACACAAATCAATGTCAGTAATTATTTATACTATTTGCTTCTTTCGATAAAGTCACGTAGGTAGAAAAAATAATAGATCACGACGTTTGGATCGCCACACAAGCAATCGTCTTGTGTGGCGATAGATCACGACGTTTGGATCGCCACACAAGCAATCGTCTTGTGTGGCGATCGAAACATCGTGATCTATTATTTTTTCTACCTACGTGACTTTATCGAAAGAACCAAAGAGTATGGATTCCTGCAGTCACGAAAGCTTCAAATCAAGATAGTAATTATTTAGTTCGCATAAATTTGAAATCGTTTTTTCCTTAGAATTGATTGCAATTCCACAGACACGACCAATCATTTAAAACAACCATGTGACCCGTGAGTGTTATACTCCATTAAGAATGGCTGGCAATGATGAATGTCCAATATCTAAATCTGTAGTGGTGTTCAGATGTCAGTGACATACGACGCAGCAGCAGGCTAATTACTCGGTACGAATGTGGCCACCGCACAGCTTCCACTAGGATGAGTGGTGGTGGCTATGCTGGTGGGGCCACTGTGGCCAAGGCAGCGATTGGTAGTTCAGATTGCACTACCGCTGTAAACAGTATCTGACGAAGATGAGTCGATGGCTTGCATTGATTTTAACCGGCACACAATTCCACAGGCTGAAAACGGATTTCCTTATAAATTGAACAATGTTTTAAAATGGTTGTGGATGGTTTTCATCACCACTAACAACAAACGTTTTCCATCTCCATGCTAAGGCAACACTCACACTTGCAGAGATGCACGGTTTAAATCTTAGAGTATTCGCTCAAAGCTTAGAGACTGGGCTGTTTAGTGCCAGCTCTTGCATATCCAGTAGGGCTTGATGCAGAGCCTGGGCCAGACGGGCTGCAGAGGTGTCTGGGCAGGAACGGAAGGCAGACACTGCCAGGTTGATGTGGTTCTCCATGGGGTTGTAGCAAACACCATAGCCGTCCTCAACCACTGGCCCAAAGCACATGACGCAATCTGTCCTGGCCGGAACCTGCAATAACGTGCACCACACCAACACAATGTTTACACAACGGATCCTAATCAAATGCATATACAAACCACATATACATTTTCATTTAAAGCTTTCGTGACTGCAGTAATTCATATTCTTATTTTATTGTTTCCCTTCAACGTGACTTTACCGAAAGAACTAAGAATATAAACCACATATATTCAACAATATTTTTGGTCCATCGGCCTATTGGCTTTCCAGACCTATATTATGCAGCAGCTTTGTTGAAGCAAGCAAACACTGAACAGATTTTGACAGACCTTCTGGTTCTCATTGGCAGAGTCCAGCTTATTAAACAAATGCTGCTAGATGTCAAGATGAATCTAAACTATGGAGTCCGAATCAGTGCTGCTTATAAATGCTTTTAACTCGTTATGCTCCACAACAACGCATGAATAAAACAAATGAATGTGCTGCTCAAATGAAGATTGATGCATTGGTGCTTATCTGTTTACAGCCCTGAGTGGTAGAAATTCCAAATTCATATGGCAGCAGTAAGTCTATCTATATGACAACCACTGTTGACTTCCCCACAAAGTAGTACTCATTTTTATTCTTAGTTCTTTCGGTGAAGTCACGTTGAAGGGAAACAATAAAATAATAAAATATATATAAAACAATAAAAATTCTCACGACGTTTCGACCATAACACAAACGGTCGTCATCAAACGGTCGTCATCAAGTGTGATGACAACCGTTTGTTATGGTCGAAACGTCGTGAGAATTTTTATTGTTATATATATTTTATTATTTAATTGTTTCCCTTCAACGTGACTTTACCGAAAGAACTAAGAATATGAATTACTGCAGTCACGAAAGCTTTAAATCAAAATTTGGTACTCATTTTATTGACCCTGGAAGGATGGACTGAGTTAACCCTGAAAAACCCTCCTATACCGCCGAGCAACCGGAACGAATAATGTATTTGGATGAAATGCACTGGGCACAAATGCACAGAGGGAGGCCTGCCTGGCTCGTGGAGAGGCGGTAATGCATGGCTGCCTGGTAGGTAGGGTCCGAGTAAATCTCGGGCAGTGGGACCCCTTCCTCCAGTGCCTGCAGCTTCAGCCCCAGCAGATGCCGGTCCACGCCTTGCCCTGTAATAGCCTTAAATACGCACGCTCATTGATCACACATTCACTCTAGTTCAGGGGTAATGTATAGTTATCTTTATTGCCAGCGTCAACAAAACAAGCAATTAATGCAACTTTTGTCCAATACAGGTGTCACCAAGTGCTGGGGGGCTCACCCGGGTTGTGTATTCACGGTGAGCCTGGATTGCTTTTTTCATGAGCTGTACTTTGGTCTGCCTCTGGGTGACACAGGAACACAGTTCTTCATTTAGAAAATCAGGTGAAAGCCAATTGACACTCAGAAAGTTTCACTTTCAAGGAAAAATACGGTATCAAAATTAAGTAAAACCAATCAAGATTATTTTTTATTAAAACATGGTATAAGATTCTTAGGACATGTCTTGAGTAACAGGGCTTTGCTATTAGGGTAGTAAATGAAATGTGGTATTTTTTTCAAGGTAGTCTGGAAAACAAAATGAAACACGACTGCCAGTGGAGGTAACCAGTCATACAGTAGTGGACAGTGCGCTTTTCATTTATGAGTAGAACCAAATAAACTATTTAGTCCAGAAGCAGCTACATTTCGATTTAAAGCTTTCGTGACTGCAAGGTTTCATCTTCTTGGTTCTTTCGGTAAAGTCACGTAGAATGAGAATAAAATAATAAAATAAAATAAGACAATAAAATTCTCACGACGTTTTGGCCACAACACAAGTGGCCTTCTTCAGGTGAAGAGACAGGTCTGTACGGAAGAGAGAGCTCAAATGGACGCCGTCATGTATGGACCGCGTCTATTAAGCTGTGTGGGCGGAGTTAACAGGTCCCTGCAGGGTGGGCTGGTAGGAACATTGGAATTTTGCGCAATTTTATTTTTACACCCCAACAGCACGAGATTTCACTTCGTTAAAGTATTGAAAGGGGACGGACGGACGGACACATTAATCTATTGCAGGCTGGTACACTCAGTTTACAACTTCGTTCCTACCAGTAAAACATGAGCCTGTACGTTACCAGCATCACCTACGGAGAGGAGGGAGGGGGTGGGAACAAAGGCAGAGAGGAATGCAAAGAACGCGTCTATCAAGCTGTGTGGGCGGAGTCAGAACAGGAGCCCGAATGTAATCAGCATCAACTCCGGAGAGGAGGAGGGAGGGGGGGCTGGGAACACAGGCAGATAGGGATAAAGAAAATGGGCAAGTACAACCGCCAAGGTGCGCTGTTGTGTCCTGAGTAGCTTCATGACTATGCTATAAACTGGACTACTCTCCTTTTAATTAAGACATCCAAAAAGGGTAGCTTGCCTTCTTTTTCGACCTCCATGGTAAATCTGATGGCTGAGTGTATGGAATTGATGTGGTCGAGGAATCATGAATCATGAAGAAGGATCCCCTTGGAAAGATGTTTTAAACCACTTCGGTTCTTAATTGATTGTATTTTACGGTGACTTTCAGACCACAGCCCTTTCGCTGACACTGCCTCTTAATACTTCTCACACCACGGTCAATGGTATGGTTTATAACATGTAGTATAATAATTAATAGTATAACATTGTAATATTTAACATAACTCATAAGGCAATATATAGCATCGTAATTGCATAGTGAATATACAGCAGTGTGGTATATAGTTGGGTTCATAGAATAAGACAGTGTAATATCACAAGTCAAATAGTTTATTATCTAAAGTATAGGGTAGTGTAAAGCAACGCATTGTATAATTCAAAGGTGGAATTTGTCTATGATATGATGTTATACCATGTAGTTTAGATTGGAAGATATAATATTGTATTGTATAGTAGTCCAGTTTATAGCATAGTCATGAAGCTGCTCAGGACACAACAGCGCACCTTGGCGGTTGTACTTGCCCATTTTCTTTATCCCTCTCTGCCTGTGTTCCCAGCCCCCCCTCCCTCCTCCTCTCCGGAGTTGATGCTGATAACATTCGGGCTCCTGTTCTGACTCCGCCCACACAGCTTGATAGACGCGTTCTTTGCATTCTTCTCTGCCTTTGTTCCCATCCCCTCCCTCCTCCTCTCCGGAGGTGATGCTGGTAATGTACAGGCTCATGTTTTAACTCCGCCCACACAGCTTAATAGACGCGGTCCATATATGACGGCGTCCATTCGAGCTCTGTCTTCCGTACAGACCTGTCTCTTCACCTGAAGAAGGCCACTTGTGTTGTGGCCGAAACGTCGTGAGAATTTTATTGTCTCATTTTATTTTATTATTTTATTCTCATTCTACGTGACTTTACCGAAAGAACCAAGAAGAATCAGCTACATGTCATAATATAATCATTTAAGTAGTTGGTAACACACACACATGCTAAACAAAGAAAGTTCCCCCATATAGCCTTTACAAACTCTTGGGGCAAATGCCATTCGCGAGCACCTGTAAAGGCCGGTAAGGTTACAGGAGAGGGTGGGTGGTCAGCAACATGCCCGGTCGCCTTTGTGTCCCCCCTATGCAAATGTTTACACATCGCACCAGGTACCCATTTAAGGCTGACGCGACCTAAGGGAGGCCCTTGACCTGTTCGGATATTCATGACTGGAGTTGCCCTAGAGCAGGAATCGAACTACACTACCGCCCCCGTATGACACACAGACACACATACGTCACAGTTGGGGTCTCCCATGGCTCGTGAGAAGGCGAGCGAGTGGCGTGAGGTCGAACGAATCGTTTCCGTGCGTCCCAGGCGAAACATCCGCAGCGAGGCACTCTCATAGGTGGCACAGGGCTGTGCATACAACCTGCACCACAGCCACACAACAGCACCTCAACATGCCGCTGTACTCTGCTCCACTACAAACCACACGCCACCACCACACCACGATGTGGAATTGCTTTCAAGACTGGGTTGGTGTGACACGTGCAATTTTACACACTGGCAATGAAGTGCAGGCAGGCATTTGTGTCACACCTGTAGTGGTGTCGCACACCTATAGAAGTGTCATACCTGTAGTTGTCACGTACCTGTAGTAAGCAAGCTGCAGCCCTATTTGTATGAAAGCATCCGGGCTGAGTTTCTGTGACTTTGGGAAGCCTTTGCCAAAATTCTTGAACACAAAGCACTCTACTTCCAAGTTTGCAACCAGCCTGCATACATAAAGCACGCACACATTTTAATGCACACTTCCTGGCACCGCACGAGGGATGAAAGCATTCTCTTACCTAGGAGACCCTCATTGAGTATCAACTCTTCTTTAGGAGGGTCCTGCCAAGTATTCGCAGTAATGGGCGATAATGCTCCTGTGTGCAATCCCAATTGAATAATTTGCAGGGAATATATCAGCATTGGCATGTTTTTGCCAATACCGGTTACATTGTGTGGGTTTAGCTATGGGAAGAAACTGAAGAAACTGGAGAACCAGGAGAAAAACTCATAAAGAACAGGAGAACAAACTTCACACAGAAAGGCGAACGAGTTGGGGACCGAACCCAAGCGCTTCTTGCTGCGAGGCACAACTGCGCCACCCTGTCGTCCCATTAACAGATATTGATCTCCAAAATCTTCACAATATCTAAACCGTGCACGTGCTTTTCAAGTGATTGGAGTCATTCTAACCTTCGTATCACATAAGGACTAAAGTTCATGAACAGCTCATACAGTGATGCTCTTGGTTTTTAGTGCATTGTCACCCAAAGTGGGACTGTGAGAGGCTCACTGGTCCAGGCCGACTTTGGCCTCAGCTGCAAGCGCGAGTAGCTCAGGGCTCAGGGAGAACTGCAGGTGCCGTGGCTCCGCTCCGTGCACCGGGGCTCCCTGCGAGGTTGTGGGTGCCGTTTGCTGCCTGGATTTCTCGCTGCCGGACACCAGAGACCATGTGCACACAGACACGCACACACTCGCTCAACACGGTCACCAACCTCCCGGATACCTATTTTAAAATAACTATTTTATTTTAGCAGGTAAAGCCCACTGACTTATTAGCTCTTTTTCAGAAGCGACCTAGCCACAAATTATAGCTCAACAAAGTGGCTTATCACGTGGAAGTTTATAGCAGCAAAATAATCTAAAAGCATGTTCTTAAACATGAAGGGGAAAACCCGGAGGACTCAGAGAAAAATCCAAATGACCACAGGGAGAATATGCAAACTCCAAATATACAGGCATCATCAGGGTTGGGATCGAACCCATGACCTGCATACCAGGTGTGGGAAATAATATCTCCCCACCATGGTGCGATCCGCAGCGTCCACCGCTGCATGCATCAGGGTGAATCGTGCTGGCAGGCAGCAAGGTGTACGCACCAGTAGGCCACCACATGGTCGACGAGCGCGACGATGGGCGGGCCCTCGGCCGGCGCGTGCTCATATATGAGGCCGCATGTGCCGCCATCTCCAACTATGAACTGAATTGACAGGGACGCATCGGTCGGTCAGCCCATGCCAGCAGGCCCAGTCACACGCAAAAACCATTGATCCACATTTGACCTCTTTTTATCTAGACTGTCAAAGTAAGCGTTATTAGAGAGAGCAAGGGATACATTTAAGATTAAAACATATACGATTTTACGGACAATTTCTCATCTTGTTTGGATTGTGGATCATTGACTCAATCTTAATTTGAAGCTTTCGTGACTACAGGAATCCATACTCTCTGGTTCTTTCGGCAAAGTCATGTATAAAATATAATAAAAGAACACGACGTTTCGGTCGCAACACAAGCGTCCGTTATCAGGTGAGAAAGAATGATCTGCTGTTGTGGCTATTGTTTTTTCGCCATAGAGCATTGTGATATATAACGACTTATTGTTGTTAGCTTAGCTGATTGGAGAATATATAGAGTTTATTGATAACATTGAGGTAGTTTATATTTTAGTTTTTTATTGGTTTACTATATGGTATTCATTATATAGTGTTGTGTATACCCAGTTACTGTTAATAGCTCAGCTTATTGAAGAATATATTGAATATATTGGTTGCAGCCCCTTTGGCATCCATGTACTAGGTGCCTCTGTAGATGTGTAGGCTTTGACTTTAACATAGCTATTTCTATGACCAGTCACAAGCTAATCCCTCAGTTATTTCAATGCTAAATTCTCCTGTTTGATTTATACTAGGTGCCTCTGTGGATATGTAGGCTTTGACTTTAACATAGCCATTTCTGTGACCAGTCACAAGCTAATCACTCAGCTATTTCAATGCTAAATTCTCCTGTTTGATTTGTACTAGGTGCCTCTGTGGATGTGTAGGCTTTGACTTTAACAATTAAATGCTAATTTTTATGCTAATTCCTTTGTCAAGGCGCTCTGTTTCTTCTCACACAGCTTCAAGGTCGCGGTCTGAGCTTGGCTGTGTTCGCTCCAGTGCTGTCCTCCAGATAGTCTCGTCCCTTCACCTGATGAAGGCTACTTGTGTTGTGGCCAAAACGTCGTGAGAATTTTATTGTGTTATTTTATTTTATTAATTTATTATTTTATTCTCATTCTAAGTGACTTTACTGAAAGAACCAAAGAAGATGAATCCTTGCAGTCACGAAAGCTTTAAATCGAAATTCAAGAATATATAGTTGCTCCATTGTCCACACAAAATCCTCAGAAGCGTAATAATAATACATGTGTACAAGTGTGCACAGGTCAAGTGTCATGCATGCACACCTGCAAGGTCTTGTCAAACCAGCGGTTGGCACTGTGCAGCGCGCTGCCGCCTCCATGCAACATCTGTGCCGCAGCGAGGCTCATGTCCCACTCGGGGCGCTGGCCGGGCCCGTCCAGGCACAAGGCGAATGCACTGCGTTCTACCGCGTCCACGCTGCCCCGGTGCTTCTCGTCTGCGCACGTCCCCCAGCACAGTCACAGGTGCATGGATACGAGCGAGCGTCCCTCGTCCAGTGTTGTGCGTCACTGACGCAGGCGTTTTAGGGAACACTCAAGGCAGAAGCTCAATTGTAATAGTGGTTGTAGTGTTAAAACACTCGCCCCCCCCCATAGGAAGGTGGAATTTCCATTTATGGCTGAGGGCTATAAAAAGGAAATGAGTCTTGCCTCCATGCTCACTTGAGCGGGAAATCACTTTTAGTTTGTTGGCAAGGAGTGTGGCTTCCCAAGGTTAACGGCACCTGCAGTGAGCACTTGGTAGATCTTGGCCCAGCTGTCCCGGTCTTGGGCAGTGAGCAGCCCCACGACCCCAGGGGCAAGGCCCAGGGAGTGGGTACGAATGTTCTTCAGCTGTTCATACAGATTTTCCACATCCAGCACTTTGCCATCGGCTCCATACACTTCCATGTGGTAAAACTGCAAAGGAAAAGCCACACAAACCCACAGACATTAGTAAGATGGAATGTGAATTAATTTTAGTGTTGCAGTGGAAGTCCTCTAAAACGCAAGCGGCATTGCCCAATATTTGGAAAAATATTCTGGCCACAGGGACTCGTCTTCCATATCTCTGCCATATGTTGGACTTCTATCACACCGTACGTAACCAACCGTACTGATCGGAGGTGTAGTAGGCGAGCACAAACATCCCTGCTCCTGACAACGCTGAGCCAAGCAAGACCCTTCCACTACCGTACTTATGCAAGAACTATGGCCATTAAACATAACATGAAGAGAGATTACTCTTTGGTTCTTTCGGTTAAGTCACGTAGAAAGAAAATAAATTAAATAATAGAATACGACGTTTCGATTGCAACACAAGCAATCTTCATCAGGTAGAAAACAAACCTAGTGAACTTAGAAATACAATGCAATACAACAGAGAGTCGGCTAACACAACAGTCAGCACCTTACCTGGTTGATTACGTTCTTCCAAAGATTGCTAAATTTGAGAGAGACAAAACACAGACACGGAGACACACAGACAGACACACAAGCAGAGAAAGACAACACAGAGACACACAGAGAGAGACACACAACATAGACCCAATGCCTCTATGTTGTGGCCTTAAATAGAGAGAGGGGGGGGGGGCAGAGAGAGAGGTGGGTCTGCTGGAGCAGAGAAATTAGCATGTCAATGAGAGAGCTGTGTGGAAATCCACCACGCGGCGGTGGGGTAGAGAAAGACCCAACAAGAATGGTAAATTTTAGAGAGAGTTGTGTGGAAATCCCCCCACAGTGGCAGGGGGAGAGAAAGAGCGAATGGACCTATGAGAGCCTGGTAAATTTTAGAGAGAGAAATAGGCAGTTTGAGAAAACAAACTTAGCAAATTGTTGGAAATGTAATGCAATGCAACACAGAGAGTCGGTTAACACACAGTTAATGCATAGCCTGGTTGATTGCATTCTCCATAGATTGCTAAATTAGAAGTTAAGTGTGAAATTTGACAAACAGAGACATGCAGAGAGAGAGAAAACCAGGCTCTCATAGGTCCAATCGCTCTTTCTCTCCCCCTGCCGCTGAGGGGTGGATTTCCACACAACTCTCTCTAAAATTTACCAAGCTTGCTGGGTCTTTCTCTACCCCGCCGCTGCGTGATGGATTTACACACAGCTCTCTCATTGACATGCTAATTTCTCTGCTCCAGCACCCCCACCTCTCTCTCTCTCTGCCCCCCCCCTCTCTCTCTATTTAAGGCCTCGACACAGAGGCGTTGGGTCTCTGTGCGTCTATGTTGTGTGTCTCTTTCTGTGTGTCTCTGTGTTGTCTCCCTCTGCTTGTGTGTCTATGGTTTTGTCTCTCTCTCAAATTTAACAATCTTTGGAAGAACGTAATCAACCAGGTAGGGTGTTGACTGTTATGTTAGCCGACTCTCTGTGTTGTATTGCATTGTATTCCTAAGTTCACTAGGTTTGTTTTCTACCTCATGACAATTGCTTGTGCTGCAATCGAAACGTCGTATTCTATTATTTAATTTATTTTCTTTCTACGTGACTTTACCGAAAGAACCAAAGAGTAATTCCTGCAGTCACGAAAGCTTCAAATCAAGTATCAAGAGAGATATATTGTGACTTAAAGGTTTCAGGTTCTAACATGTGAATGACCAGTTAGTGCAGACTAGGGGTTCCCAATCTCTCTGTATGTATGTTGAATGTCAACCATACTAAATGGAGGCGCAGGGGAAGGACAAAAAACGAAATAGTCAATAAATCAATCAAACTTTATTTATATAGCACAATTCGTGCAAAGCTTGCAATGAAAAATGCTTTACAGAACTAAATGAAGGGACTGACGTAAAATACATACGACTGTAAACTCCAAAAATGAGTCGCTGATCGCCTTGCAGTTAAACATGCAGTGTTTTGTGATAAAATGGTATCTGCAAGAGTTCCACGGAGTACTTTCCAGGGTCTTGCAGAGGTTCTATTAGCAGTGCACAAAGCACAGGTCGGCACCGCTGGCATAAACACTCACGTGAGCATTGCTGGCCACGGTAATGTGTTTCGGCGGATAGGCGTCACGCGCAACGTTGCGCACCGAGTCACGCGGGAGGCCCGGCACGCGGCACGATGAGAAGAGCCGATAGTATTGGTCCATGCAGAGCGGGCGACCTCCCAGGTGCTCCACTGGCAGAGACTCGCTGGGCGATAGAAATGCACAAGCGATTAGAGTGTGACTGGTCAGGCGCGCTCACGTTCATGAAGTACAACACTTGCTTATTCCAGGTGGTGAACTTGATGATACTAAATGGGATAATTGCACATCGGGTTTTTTTCTTCCAAATTAGTTCATCGACTGGAAAGGCTCATGTCTACATTTTAAGCACTCGCATAACTGTCAACACAAAGCCTGCTTGAACATGTGCTTACATGTGCGAACATGTGTGTGAATGATCAAGTCTGCCAGGCTTAACCTGTATCACAAGCTCATAACATACAGATCAAAAGGTCCCAGGTACAGTTTACCTTGAACCAGTTTAGGTTTATGCTGGAGGATGCAAATTTAGTGAAAAAGTAAGAATGTGCTAGAGATTACATACAGATATCTCCTCCTGAATAAGTTTTCTTTAAGAGAAAAACATCACTGTATTTCATGTTAAACCATGTAGTCACACAACTTAGCATTATTTTTTAAATAGCTTAGTTTTCACATGTGGCAAACCTGGCAGTATGAGCAAAAATACTTTTTATATATTTAGCTCATAGCAGGGGATGGTGCCACGTACTTGTCAACCATTGCCTTGTAGTCGAGCACCCCGGCAATCAGCTGCGCAGCAAACCTGCCAGAGAGACGTGCACCTCGTCATGGAGAACATGATGGTGATGTCTGTCAAACTGAGATGGGGGTCTAGAGCAAGGGTTCCCATCCTTCCTGGATCTGGGGACCGCTGTCAACCCTAAAAAAAAGTGCGGACCACCATGCAGTGAAATTATGGTGTTTTGTGAACTGAATCGCATGTGTTCATTATTTATTATGCTTGGCTACTTAGGAAAGCCTCACCGAGTCAACTCTTTTTCTCGAGGGTCCTGCCAATTTATTGCAAGAGGGGCAAGTTGGTGCTAAGTGCAATCCCAATTGAGTAATTTGCAAGTAATTTGCATCATTAGGATGTTTGGCCAATATCAGTTGTATTGTATGTTTTTAGCGATGGAAAGAAAGTGGAGAAACCAGAGAAAACCCAAGTAGAACAGGGGGAGAATATACAAACTCCACACAGAATGGCACCAATGTCAAGAATTTAACTCAGGACCTTCTTGCTGTGCGCCAGAAGTATTACCAATGTGACACCTTGCCATCAAATCTGCACCACCCTATCTGCAACTTTCCACGGCCTTGTCGACCACCAGTGGCCCACAAACCACTGGTTGGAATCCTCGGGTCTATCGGTTTGACAGTGCACATTGCACAACCAATTTGGGCGGCAGGGTGGCAACAGCGGTAACACTTGAGCCTTACAGCGAGAATTCTTTGGGTTCAATTCCTATGGAATTTGTATGTTCTCTAGCTGTTCTCTGTGGATTTCCTCCCGTATCTAAAAACACATCCCGTACAATGTAACCGGTGTTGGCCAAGCATCCCAATGCTGCAAACATTACTCTATTGGCATTAAACATAGCAGCAACATCGTCCCTGACTCTGAAAACCTGCCAGGACTCTCCTAAAAAAGTATTGAGACTCAGCGAGGCCTTCTTCGGAAAATAAGCATAAATGTGTTCATAACTCTGCAGTGTTCAAGAACGTGGCCACACCAGAGCTGTCCATGTGCATCGCGATAGGGCTGATGGGGCAGCACCACCCCCGGACTCGAATGCACCACGACAGGCAGACGGTATTCCAGATAGGCCGTCAGCAGCCACCAGTCCGAGAGCTGTAGCCATACAAGCCACGTGCACACACTCAACAGGCATCACAGAAAGCTGTAGATCTCTACATTTGGAAGTCTTATGATTGTGTATGAAGCTCCGTGTCAAAATTCCATATATATATTTTTTACCACATGGTACACCTTAAAGTAAAAGTAGAATATTGGGAAACTAGAAAACCATGAAGCAGGAGGTAACACTGTGAAAAAGCCAATTCGCGAAAGGCTTTATGCAAAACGAGAGCAAAGACAATACCGGTTACCTTCTGAACACTCAAGAGCTCCTTTATACTGTCCTTAACGCATACATTACCCCAAGCCTTAACCTTCAAGTTATATCTATTAATACAAAGTATTTTAGATGTCTTATCACGTCACTCATTTATCTGGTCAGGTGGTTCAGAGGTAGAGCGAGCGGCTGCAAGTTCAAATCTTTATTAGGGGTTGACTTGGCCCATCTACCCTCTCAGGTCGGTAAAATTGTTACTAATTCGTGGGGAAGTCAACAGAGGTTGTCCTGTTGGTAGCCTCATTTCTTCCACAGGACTGTGCAATTTCCACCACGGGCCCAGAGCTGTTAAAAGGAGATGGGACCGTCTCAATGCTCATAGAGCGGGAATGTTTTAATTTTTGTCTCACCACCCAAATTTCCTACAGGGGGTTCCCACCGAGCAGCGGTCCTCCCCTGCAGCGCCTCACCCAGTTTTCGCGCTCACGAGCACGACGCTCCAGCCCGGCCTGCAGCACCTCTCCCACTCCTCCTGGCTGCGCAAACTCCCGCAGCAAGCGACGGGTATGTTCCATCTGTGTAGAGTCTTCTCCGGCGAGCGGAGCCACCACGTCTGCATAGCGAGTCAACGTGTCCACGAGTGGTGGCACCGGTAGATGGGACAGCGAGCTCTGGTGGGCCATGAAGCGGCCTTGCATCCGGCCCGGTGCAAGGGGCCGCACCAGGCCACTGGCCCACAGGCCCCCAGGCGCCATTATCCTGGGTGAGTGAACCATATTGCGCCAGGGCAACTGCCAAAAGCGAGCCACAGCAGGAGTCACACATTATCCCCCACAGCTCCTCCACGTTCCAAATCTCTGCTGTCCCTCTCTATGCCTCCCTTACCCTGCACCCTGTCACGCTTTCATTCCTTTTCCGTCCCTTCTTGATAAACATCACTGGAACGAACTCCCACTGCACATAAAATAATCATCTTCACTAGCCTGCTTTCATTCCTCCCTGAAAACAACCCCCATCTCTTCTCCCTTGTCCACCCTACTGCTTACCCCAACCCCTCCTTAACGACTCCCTCCTGTCTTTTCACCATAACTGCACCAGTAGTTTAAATATCCCCACTCTTTACTTTCATCACTATTATCTTATGTATATTTTTGTATAATAATTGTAAAGCGTCTTGGATTAAGGCACTAAATAAATAATATACGATGCTCTAAATCTCATTCTTGAGAGAAGACAAGAAGGCATCAATATGGGTTTCCCATAAAATAACATTAGACGAGGCTATTAGTGGCTTTGCTGGGAATGCTAACACTTGGCAGAACGAAGCCCCGTAAGCGTGACACCTCTTGACACGTGCAGTCATTGATGGAAACCACACCACACATTCACACACAACAGAACAGTAAAATGTAAAGGGCAAAAAAGATGTGTACACTATGCCTCCCTCTCACAATCGGTCTGCATATGCGAAATAAGAGTATATTATTTAAACATCCCATTGGCCACAGTGCCTTCTGTGACATTTATGAATCTGATGATTTATCCTGGAGGAATTCGATGAGCTATTAGTCTCTTTTTCACAGATGTCCAGTAGGGGCGGGTGAGCAAGTACAAATTTTCGGCAGAATCGGTTCTACACTGGCGAACTGTGGACCGATTTCGGAACAAAGTGTCTCATCAGGAGAGTCAGGCCTGCTTGAATCAATACTGAACTGCCAGAACTTTATAGGCAAGGGCCCTTTACACATGATTTAGCGTTGAATATCAAGAGTGGAGCTGAAGGCGCGGGGCAGTACAGTTGTCCCTCACTATAACGCGGTTCACCTTTCGCGGCCTCGCTGTTTCGCGGATTTTTTTTAGTGTAATTTTGCATGCTTTTTTTCCTGCGTACAGTATGAACGCGCATTGTGTTCGGCGTCCTGATTGGCTAAGGGAGAACCGCACGTGTTCTGCGTCCTGATCAGCTAAGGGAGTACAGAATGCGTTCGGCTAGCCAGATTTACATAAATGTTCAATCGCTAGCAGTGTGACTCTGAAGTGCTGTATGTTTGCAAGTTTTCTACCCGAAAAAACCCATAATGTCGATGAAACGAACTGCAAGGAAAAAGGCACCTGCGGTCGCACCCAAAAGGCAGAGGAAGATGCTAACCATCGCAGAAAAAGTTGGACTTCTGGACATGCTAAAGGAAGGTAGAAGTTACACGGCTGTAGGGCACCATTATGGAATAAATGAATCTTCGGTTTGTTACATAAAGAAGGAGGAAAATAACATAAGGACAACAGCAGCAATAAGTTTTAACAGGGATGCAAAAAGGGTTGTAACTGTCCGCAACAAGACCATCGTAAGGATGGAGTCTGCTTTAGCTCTGTGGATCAGTGACAGCAGGAAAAAGAACATTCCGCTGGACACCAACATCCGCACAAAATCTAAAAAATGTTATGAAACCTTTGCTGACAGCGAGGAGCAAGATGATGCGGAGCACGGGCCATCAAAGAGTGCTTTTCACGCAGAACCAAGCCCATTTAATGCCAGCAAGGGCTGGTTTGACAAATTCCAGCAACGCTTTGGACTTAAAAGTGTTTCTCTGCATGGAGAGGCCGCCTCTGCAAATACCGCTGGAGCAGAGGCATACGTGAACAAATGTAAAGTTATCATCGAGGAAGGGGGATATAAGCCTGAACAAGTTTTTAATATGGATGAGACAGGCTTATTTTGGAAACGAATGCCCTCTCGCACCTTTATAATGCAGGACGAAGCCAAAGCCTCTGGATTTAAAGCCCAAAAAGATCGTGTGACTCTGGTTATGTGTGGAAATGCTGCGGGCTTTATGATAAAACCAGGGCTTATTTATAGGTAAAAAAATCCGAGAGTCCTAAAAAAACAAAAATAAGAATGCGTTGCCCGTTTACTGGATGCACAACGCAAAGGCTTGGATGACAAAAGTGCTCAATCTGGATTGGTTCCAATATTGTTTCATTCCGGAAGTCAAGCGTTACTTGAGAGGAAAAGGACTGGATTTTAAAGTGCTTCTGCTCGTGGACAACGCCGGAGGCCACGCTGATGATTTGTCGTATGATGGTGTGCAAATTGAATTTCTCCCGCCAAACACCACATCGCTGATTCAGCCCTTGGACCAAGGCATCATCCGCGCTTTCAAAGCGCTCTATACGCGCAACACCCTGCAGCATCTTGTTGAGGCTATGGACTCGGATCAAGATTTCTCACTAAAGGCCTACTGGCGTGAATACACCATTGCATCATGTCTCCAAAATATTCAGAGGGCCATTCATGAGATGAAAACTGAAACTTTAAATGTCTGCTGGAAAAAAAAACTGTGGTCAGAGGCAATGCACAACCCCACCGGATGCTCTTTTGATGAGATCCATCACTCTGCGGTAGATACAGCTGTGAATCTGGCTAAACAGCTTGGGGGAGATGGCTTTAATGATGACTCCCGATGACATTAATGCCCTGATTGATGCCCACTCACAACCGCTGACTGATGAAGACCTGGCAAAGATGACAAAGCCACCAAGTGAGGATGATGGAGAAGAGGAAGAAGAGGACACAAGTGTTGATAAAGAGGAGGAGGATGGACTAACACTTGATCGCTTGGCGACCATGGTGAGAATGGCCACTGAACTTCAGAGAGCTGCGCAAGAATGGGACCCTTTGATGTTCCGTTCATTACAGTTCTCAAATATAATCGAAGGTGGCATGTCTGTTTATAAGAATCTTCTGGCCCAGAAGAAAAAACAGCACCAACAACTACCCATAACTATGTTCTGCACTCGGGAAAAAACACCTGCGCCAAGGCCTTCAGAGGAAAAAGACGTTACAGCGGAGCGGCGCCAGGACAAAGAGGCACCTTCAGAGGAACTGTGAACTACGCGAGTTACTGGTAATAATTTCTTATGTGTCAAACCTCGTAGATTGATCATTAAAATTAAATTTGTTAAAAATGTTTGGGCTTGAAAACAGGTTTTGATCTTTGGATTCATTTACTAATATTGTACTTATTTTTGTAAATCTGCGAAAGTTTTAACTCTGAGAGTTTTTAAATAAGAGAGAAATGTGAGAAAATGTTAATGGCTGTCTGAGAAAAGTGTATGAAAGTGTGTGGTTATGGGTTTTACGGACTTAAAACATGTATAATAATTGTAAAAAATAAAGCTGATTACTTCGCGGATTTCGTCTATTGCGGGTTATTTTTAGAACGTATCCCCCGCGATAAACGAGGGACCACAGTATTTGATCCTGCAGCTGTTGCTTGTTGTCCTCTTTGGCGGCCACTGCGGGGTCACTGGAACCCCAACTCTCCCCATCTCTCCCCGATCTCATACGTCTGTCCCCTGTCTCTCTCCGCTACCCCCTGTATCTCACCCGTCTCTCTCCGCTACCCCCTGTATCTCACCCGTCTCTCTCCGCTACCCCCTGTATCTCACCCGTCTCTCTCCGCTTTTCCCCTGTTTTCCCCGCTCTATCCCATCTCTCCCCGAGCTCCCCCCTGCCTCTACTTGGCGCGACTCCGCAGTGACGCGATCGACGTTAGACTCGGCACCTCAGTGAAGAGCGACGCCTCCACACCACTCCATGGGGGAGTTTGCGGGTTCGAGGACCACACGGCTCGCGATATCCGAGGCCCCCACTCCGAGGGTCCCCTCTCTCCCTCATGACCCTCTCCCCAATCTCTCGTCTCTCTCTCCCCGCTCTCACCCTGCGCTCTCCCCGCTCACAACCGCTCTCTCCTCCCTGTCCCCTGCTCTCATCCCGCACGTCCCGCACTCTCTCAGAGCTCTCTCCACGCTCTCTCCGCATTCTGTCCGCGCTCTCACCGTCTCCACGACCGAGCGCAGGAGCATCGCGACTCCCTGTGGACCTTGATCCTGGCGCCACCGGGCGGGAGGGAGGGGGTCACCGGAAGCGAAACCCGGTCCACAGAGCACGCGCCACAGGTCACGTGCAGCGCCTCTTGGTTCTTGTCACGTCGTGTCCTCTGGTGGTCATTTTCGGTACTACAATGTATTCAAAACGTAATTACCGGAGTACTTATATTCTTGGTTCTTTCGGTAAAGTCACGTAGAAGGGAAACAAAATAATCTAACCTATAAAACTCATTTTTTGTCTGTCTGTCCGTCTGCGTACGCTCGCTTGCGGGGGATTGGGCTCTTGGACCGCGGGGTTCGCGTCGAAAAAAAATTGCCGGGAATAGGCTATTTCGTTTTCCCATCCCTAAACTTTAAAGTGGTTTAATTAACGATTTAGTGCGATTCCTCTTTATTTATATATTTTTGAGGGGGGGGGAGTCGACAATTTTCGGAAACCTTTTAGATCAACTATTTACCCCCCACTTTATATAACTTTTTGGACTTGTGCAAGCCTAATATAATTTTGTTGGTGGAGAAATGGACAAACGGTCCACCGGGCTTTCACAATACCTTAGTATCTGTGTATGTATATGTAAGGTTTTACCGGTAGGAACGAAGTTGTAAACTGAGTGTACCAGCCTGCAATAGATTAATGTGTCCGTCCGTCCGTCCCCTTTCAATACTTTAACGAAGTGAAATCTCGTGCTGTTGGGGTGTAAAAATAAAATTGCGCAAAATTCCAATGTTCCTACCAGCCCACCCTGCAGGGACCTGTTTAAGATAAGTTTTGACATTTCTTTTTTACCCGGGAAACGCCGGGTACTTACCGCTAGTCTTCGGAAAATCTAAGGTTGCCGATTATTGCGGTGAAGCTGCGTTGGCATCAGCGCATGAACGCAATGAACAACAACAAACTCAACACATTTGTCAATAACCCTTAAAAAGGAACAACGCACACAGACGACGTTACTAACTAAATAACCTAACTAACATGGACACTCGCTAAATAACCTAACCAACATGGATACTCGCTAAATAACCTAACCAACATGGATACTCACTAAATAACCTAACCAACATTGACACTCGCGAAATAACCTAATCAACATGGATACTTGCTAAATATTTCGATTTAAAGCTTTCGTGACTGCAATGATTCATCTTCTTTGGTTCTTTCGGTAAAGTCACGTAGAATGAGAATAAAATAATAAATTGATAAAATAAAATAACACAATAATATTCTCACGACGTTTCGGCCACAACACAAGCGGCCTTCATCAGGTGAAGGGGCGAGACTGTCTGGTAGGACAGCGCTGGAGTGAAAGAGCCACGTTCAGATCACGGCCTTTAAGCCTCAAATTTCAGCACCACGGATAGCTACGGGCCCCGTTCAGACGGACGAGTTCGTCCATGGTCGGAACAGAGGAGGGGGAGAGAGACAGCTGCGAGGCCCTAGTATACTCCATGTTGTAAAACTATACCATTAACCGTGGTGTGAGAGGTATTAAGAGGCAATGCTGGCGAAAGAGCTGCGGTCTGAAGGTCAATTAATTAAGAACAGAAATGATTTAAAACATCTTTCCAGTGGTTACTGAGCCTGAATCCATCTTCTCGGTTGAAATTGTCTCTGTGCTTGTATATGTGAATGGCCTCATGAACGAATCTCTCATGGTAGCCGGTTGGTTTGCAAAGAACCTCCGTCTTGGAGAACCAACATGGACACTCACTAAATAACCGAACCAACATGGACACTCGCGAAATAACCTAACCATGATGGACGCGTGCTGAAGTCGGGTGGGTAGTTCGGGGTAATGAGACACGGCGGGCATCGACCCCGCGTCACTGTGGAGTCCCTCTCGCTTCTGTGATCACACATGGACCGCAGCCGTCAACGCGCTGCACCGCCGACTATCGACGCGAGCCGCGGACCGTGGACGCCACCGTGTGGTCACATGGTGCAAGTGCAGTTACATGGTACAACTGCAGTGCCACGGCGCGGTAACAGCAGCAGTGGCACTGTTCGGTGTTTTCACGGCTTCATTGCAGCCAACCGCGCTTGGCACTAACGCCAGGACACTGCAGCACCAGCGACTCACAACTGCGGGGAATGCGCGGGTGACGCCTGACAGCGGCAACTGCTGGCCTACTGTGTTGGCCTGTACTGCACATGTCCACCACATAGCAGACTTAACCACGAATTGAATGGTTGTGGTACTGCACGTGTCCACCAGAGGGCACACATAACAGGTCAAGCGCCTGTAAAAAAATACGAAACTCTACGACCGATTTGCACCGCAATTCTTTATTTCTTCACGGATTTTCAAGTAACAAACTACTGCATTGACATCACAAACTGCCCCATACGTTTGCACCGTTGAATATTTGGTGAACATCGGGCTGAAATAGTGAAACGCACTGCATTCCCAAACGGTGCGCTTCAAATCGGCAACAATCACACCCATCATTGACTTCAATGCAAAATTCCGCCCCGGTTTCACAAGTCACACAAGCAAGTGGTGTTTGCACTTCGACTCTACTTGACAGAGTCGAGCCATATACGATTCAACTCATCTCGCTGAGACGCGTTTAAAGGCATATTTGAGGCATCTCACTTGCAACCCTAAGAAGTACTAATTCCAAAGCAGGAGTCTCAATTACAAATTTAGGAGTGCCGATTCCTCATGCGGGAATGTGAATACCAAGGAAGTGGTTGTGGGGCTCCTGGAAATGGAATAGGGACTCCCAAAATAATCCATATACCCTGTTAGCCTATATTTCGATTTAAAGCTTTCGTGACTGCAATGATTCATCTTCATTGGTTCTTTCGGTAAAGTCACGTAGAATGAGAATAAAATAATAAATTGATAAAATAAAATAACACAATAATATTCTCACGACGTTTCGGGGGACAGCGCTGTCCTACCAGACAGTCTCGTCCCTTCACCTGATGAAGGCCGCTTGTGTTGTGGCCGAAACGTCGTGAGAATATTATTGTATTATTTTATTTGATCAATTTATTATTTTATTCTCATTCTACGTTACTTTACCGAAAGAACCAAAGAAGATTAACCTGTTAGCCTAGTTAAGGTTATGGTTAACGGCTAGGGTTAGGAGTCAATGAAAAGTGAATTCCTCCATTGAATTGTCTTACAATTTATTTACAATTATTTTTTCTTACCTATAAAATGCATTTTTTGTCCGTCTGCTTTGTCTGCGCACGCGCGCTTGCGAGGGATTTGGCTCTCAAACGGTTGGGTTCACGTGAAATAAAATTTGCCAGGCAGCACGCTGTAAGCCCCGTGGAGGGCAAGCGCTATGCCGTTTTCCTGTCACTCACCGTCAAAATGGTAAAAATCGCGTTTATTGGCAATGTTCTTTAATTATTTATTTTCGGTTTGCGGTTAATTCATCTTCTTTGGTTCTTTCGGTAAAGTCACGTAGAATGAGAATAAAATAATAAATTGATAAAATAAAATAACACAATAATATTCTCACGACGTTTCGGCCACAACACAAGCGGCCTTCATCAGGTGAAGGGGCGAGACTGTCTGGTAGGACAGCGCTGGAGTGAAAGAGCCACGTTCAGATCACGGCCTTTAAGCTGTGTGAGAGGAACAAAGCTGAAATTTGAGGGCGCTTTGTTCCTCCCACACAGCTTAAAGGCCGTGATCTGAACGTGGCTCTTTCACTCCAGCGCTGTCCTACCAGACAGTCTCGCCCCTTCACCTGATGAAGGCCGCTTGTGTTGTGGCCGAAACGTCGTGAGAATATTATTGTGTTATTTTATTTTATCAATTTATTATTTTATTCTCATTCTACGTGACTTTACCGAAAGAACCAAAAAAGATAAATCATTGCAGTCACGAAAGCTTTAAATCGAAATTTTGCGGTTAATTCTTTATTTCCCAAGCACCTCGGCCCCGGACAACGTCATCAGCTGCGCATGCGCACAACGCTCGCACGGTTTGCCCCTACAAAAACGAACTCTCACGTGCCATCGCCGGAGGTGTGCGGGCTTTTTTATTCGCCTGCACACTCTACAAGGTACGTCGCACACATTAGTATTATAAGCATTTATATAATTACACTTTGCACTGCTGACAGGGGTTGCCCCGAGCAACGCACACACGATCGGCACACATTTTTATTCGCGTTAGAAATGCAACAAAAACTCACAACGCTGAGGCTATTTCTTCACAGCGTGATGTCCTCTTCTCCCCACTCCACCCCAATGTGTCCTGTTACTACTATTGAGTCCTTACATATTAATATTACTGTGCTTATATAGTATTATTGTAGCACGGACGGGGGGAGCGGCCTAGCCCACACCCTGCCAAGATGACACCTCGGCCGGCTGGGCAATCTAGGCGAGGCCGGGGGCTCTGCACAGGACTAGGCCTCATTAAGGCAGTGTTGCTTTCCCTTAACTCACGTTTACAAATATAACTCACGTTTACAAATATTGCATTCATAATGTTTGTGTGCTCACAATAGAGATTTCTAAATTTACTTGGTGAATGTTATTCTTTTTTTTTAATTTTATACGCTTTTATTTAACTGTCGTATCCTCAAATCTTGTAACTCAATTTAATCCACTTCCCAATGTGGTATCGACTGCAAACTTGGTATACTTATGTCATACTGATGACAATACTATATTCTATAAAAAAATAAGTATTTTTAAACATTCATTTTTATATGTTATGATTCGGCTTGGGTCTGTCCACGCTCAACTGACGTTGGCTGTAAATCACCACGGGTCCCTTACGTTATGGCAAGCTTTGCGGCCACTTCCTGGAGTCGTGGAGTTCTGCCATTACGAGTAGGGTACATTTCATTAAAGCGTGTTTTTAAATACGTATTTTAAAATATTGCTTATTGTGTTTTTAATGGCGTGGCGGAGACACGGGGCCCGTGGAGCGTGTAAAGTGGGTCGTGCGGAGCCAAGCGTGGCTCGCCGAGGGGCGGGGGTTGTGGACGGAGGGGAGGGGCAATGGGGGAAGGGAGCACGGGGGGGAGGGGCAGCTCGGAGTTGGCCGGAGGGGAGGTGCGGGGATTCATGGGATGACAAGTCGGCAGT